CAACAAAGGCAGAGACTGAACATGGCTGGGGGAGTCGGCAACCCAGGCTCATCTCCAGCATCTCAGCTCTGTTGTTGTTTAGTCTCTAAGTCTGACTCTGTGATCCCATGGACTGCAGCATGCCAGGTTCCCTGTCCTTCACTGACTCCCAGAGGTTTGCTTTCTTCCTCAAATAGTATAAAGAAGCAATTAATACAGCTTCCCTTGTGGCTCAGATGGGAAAGCATCTGCCTACAATGCAGGAGACCTGGGTTCAATCCCTGGGTTGGGAAGATCCTCTGGAGAAGGAAATGGCAACCCACTCCAGTACTCTTGTCTGGAAAATCCCATGGACGGAGGAGCCCGGTAGGCTACAGTCCATGGGGTCACAAAGAGTCAGACACGACTAAGCGACTTCACTTCACTTCAAATTTAAATAGTCCTGAATGTCCTTCATTTCTGTCCTTAATTTTGTCTAGAGTGGCGATTAGATCCCTTAGGGCATTAAAAAGGGATGGTCTTCATTGGTGGCTTACAAACTCAGGGTGGTTTTTTTTTTTTTTATTTGATTGCATGTGGCCATTTGTGATTATCAGTACACTTAGAGGAGCCTTATTGCAACTTCCCAGAAATTCACTAATTATTAAAACTCCAGACTCAATTTTTTAAGTAAAAAAATTATATCAGGGTAAAGTAACATGTTAGTTATGTTTTTTGCTTTGCTTTCTTTTTAATGGTGAAGATACTTATAAACAGAGAATGCATTAAGTGGAGATAACCAAACCTTTAGGTCAAGCATCACCTTCGATGCATTGTGGCAACTGACTGGCAGTGGAAAAAGAGATAAAATGCTCTTCTTAAGCTATAGGGACAGGCTACCTAGTAACCACAGAATGATTAAATTGTGTTCACAGAGACGTTTTCTCTTAATTGGACGAAAAGATTTAAGGATCACACCTGGGGAGCCATGGAGACGTATGATAGCTACTAGTGGGCTTAATACATGCAATTCTATGAGTGATTCTTCTCTCAGTAGCAAGAAATCAGCTAAGCTCCCCGCAGAGTCACAAGCCTGTGCTCTTTCAAACTGTAGGAAGGGACTTCCTTGGTGGTCCAGTGGTTAGGAATCCCCCTGCCAGTGCAGGTTCAATCCCTCGTTTAGGAAGATCCCACATCCCACAGAGCAACCAAGTCCATGCCCGTAACTACTGAGCCCAAGTTCTCGAACCCATGAGCTGCAACTGCTGAAGCCCCCACGCCTTGCGCCCACGGGCTGCAAAAAGAGAAGGCGCCGCAAGGAGACAACCGTGCACCGTAGCTAGAGAGCAGCCCCCCTGCCCCCCCCACAATGAGAGGCTGCCTGCAGCAACAAAGGCCTAGAACACCCAAAAATAAAATAAATAAATAAGCTTTTAAAAAATGTTTTTAAAAATACATAAACTGCAAGAGAAATAAAAACGAAAGTGTGGAATGGAGCATAATGAAAAGTGCAGTGACCCTTGTATAGTGTTACACAATGCGCAATGATAATTTTCTACGGACAAGATGATGTTTGTGTTCAGATATCAGAGTTCTTTTTCCTGTGGGAACTCAAAATGGTCTTTTGGGATCAGTTTATCCCATTACCACCCTTTCTTGTCTTTTTTTTTTTCTGTTAGGCTCATGCTGCTTTATTGAGAATTATGGTCATCACTGTTCTCTCCAGCTTTAACAATTAAATTAAGAAAAATCAAGTTATAGGTTGACAATGATGACCTTTTTTACTCATGAAGGGCCTTAAGATAATACAATAATTTCTTCCTGTGCTCAGGAAAGAATTCGGTATACATGTCACTATTATTGGAGAAGTTCTACCTTGGAGTCACATTTCAAAATGCTTTTCACTCCTTACACTCCTTGAGTAAGATTTGTAGGTTAATATTGTCTCCTGTGGCTTGGCTGTCTTCCTCACAGAGACACAGTTTAAAACTTTCCTAAAGCCCCCTCTAGTGACAAACAGAAAATTAATTCATTACTTCATAACATTTAATACCACCAAGCTCTAAAGTTCCATTTTCTCATCTATTTATTAGATAAATGAATAAGCCACAGTATTTTGATTGGAGAATGGTTAAGAAATAGTCAATAGTTTGAATTTCCAATGTTCCCACCAAAACCTAGGGGATTTTCTTTTGAAATGAAAACCAACATCATTTTTAATTCCATTTCTTTTCTCTGCCCTGAAGGGTACACCTTAAAAAAAAAACCCTAAAAAACGTCCTTCATTTTTATCCTTAAGCGACATTAAAGATGAAAATACGTTTATAATTAGCCACTGAATGGGAAAAGATTATCTTGGCCTTTACCTCATGGTGTCTCCATTTCATTCACTGGATAATTTTCATTCATAACACTGGGCATGACCAAACAGAGAAACATAAATTCTCTAAATTATGAAAGCAATGGTAATCTATAAAGATATAGATTAAATGTAAATGTAATAATACAATGTTTTAAAATAATAAGTAATAAAATACAATAGACTATATAGTATATGCACTGGGCTATATATTATGGTATGTAATAATATATAGCTTACTTCATTTGCATCTGTTTCCAAAGAGCTTCAAACTCATCTAATTAAAAATAGGCTTGATGAAACAATTAAATAAGAGAAGAATAAAATCCTTGAGTCAAAAAAAAAAAAAATCCTTGAGTCATATCTGTCTGTGACCCTATGGACTGTAGACCACCAGGTTCCTCTGTCCATGGGATTCTCCAGGCAAGAGTTCTAGAGTTGGTTGCCATTTCCTTTTCCAGGGCATCTTCCCAAACCAGAGATTGAACTCGAGTCTCTTATGTCTCCTGCATTGGCAGGTGGGTTCTTTAACTGCTAGCTCCACCTGGGAAGCCCATATAGAGTATATGTATTAGGCTATATATTATGGTATATAATAATACAGAGCTTATTTCATTTGTATCTCTATTTCCAAAGAGCTTCAAACTCATCTAGTTAAAAACAGGCTTGATTAATCGATTAAATAAGAGTAGAAGAAAAAAAGTCACCTGCATAATATAAGGAATTAAAGAGATAAATAGAAAAGTAGGCTATGAATAGATATTGCAGCTAAGCATAAGTCTTAGTTTTGAGCTGACAAGCTAAGACAAAAAGAAAAAAGTCAGTAAGAAAAGTAAATATACCAGTGTATTAAGGGAGAAAACTGCTTTCCTTCTAAAATACAGATACACAAGCCTCTAGATATCAGTAACAAAAATGTATCATTGGAATGATTTCTTAACAATGAGAAATTCACGTTTTAATATTCAACACAAGGTCTCAGGAACATCTATGCTCCAAGGACACTGCAGTTGGTGGTGATTCCCCATTAGAAGCGTGTTCCTGGGAGGGAACTCGACAATAAACCCAGGCCAGCTGCATACATTTACCCATGATCGGGGTTATCTCTGGGAACAGCAACCAGAAAGGATCTTCTTTCTGTTTTTTACAGAGAATGAAGACAAAGGGCATTTAAATTAACTATCATAAAGGGAAGCATGATAATATGTTCTCTGCTATGGTTGGAAAGAAAAGGACTCCACTGTGCACTTCTTGAAAGAACTGGAACAAAATACTTAAAAATCATGAAGTGAGGATGGTTTCAGTTGAAGTTGGCTACCGAGCAACGTCGTCTTCACAACCCTCATCTTGCTGTCTCTCAATCGTGCAGCCCTTTTCCTTTTGGAAGCCAAAATTTACTTTTGATACCCAAAGCCTACTTTCACAAGGGAAACTGGCATCACCCTTGAGTGAGTCAGGTCACTGTGTTGCCTCTCCCAGGGGTGTTTGCCCTTTATGCTTCAGTTCTAATCCAATTTAACAAATGCTTATGGGAGGTCTAGTATATGCAAGATATTTTCCAGATGCTGGGAACCTTTCCTGTCACAATCAGGGGTGGAATGGGTGGGCTGCTACTGCCATGCCGTGCGCAGAGGTCAAGGCTCGCTGCTAAACACCCTGCACTGCATACGACAGCCCAACAATCATGCATCCAGCCCCGAATGTCCGTAGACCCGCTGCGGAGAAGGACACGTTAAACAACGCTGCCTGGTCCCAGTCTATCCTCACGTCCAAGGATTCAAAAGTAACTCCTTCGAAATTAAACAAATTGTGGAAAGCCACGGATAATTCAACGCCTCGTTCATGTTACAACTCTCTTCCATCATAAAGGAAAACTGAGGACTTAAGATTTTTTAAAAAGGCGGAAGGTGGTGGTGGAAGAGGAGGGGGTGGGGGGAAGCTCAGGAAGCAGAAAGGAAATGCAAAGTGATTACTGGGGTTAAGAATTAAGATAATATGTAGACGCTTTTCATCCCCAGGATTTTCACTAATCCAAATGTTCAAGTACTCCTGCTCGTAAATTTAATTATTTGGGGCTTCCCTGGTGGCTCAGGTGGTAAAGCGTCTGCCCGCAATGCGGGAGACCCGAGTTCGATCCCTGCGTCGAGAAATGCAAACTGATTATTGGGGTTAAGAATTAAGACACTACGTATTTTCATACCCACGATGTTCACTAACCCAAATGTTCAAGTACTGCTTGGAAATCTAATTATCTGGAGCTGGTTAAATGTTACCCTGAGCTCAACCAACAATTCGTTCCGGGACCCAGGGGACACGGACGCCCGATGAGGCCGGCCTGTCTTCCCGCTCTTCCCGCAGCGTCAAGGCCTGCCAGGTGCTGGGGGCGGAGTCCCGACGGGCAGCAGAGCCGCAGGGCGGGGCCGGCGCTTCGCCCCGGCGTCCTCCAGGCCTCCGCCCCACAGGGGGCGGGGCCACGGGGCGCGTCCCTGTGCGATGGCGTCACAATCCGGCGCCACGGGGCCCGCCCTCAGCCGCCCGCCGCGCGTCAGTCTCCGGCTGCTGCGCCGCCCCGCCCTCCGGCTGTCTTTCGCCGAATCTCTGCAGCGGGGAGCCGGCCCGGCCCCGGGAAGGGCTGAAGGGGACGCCCCAAGTCCCCGCGGTGTGGCCGCAGGAGGACCCGAGCATGGACGCCAGCCGGAGAGGTAAAGGGCCGCCGTCGCGGACGCCCGCCGGGTGCCCGGCCCCCTCAGGTGTGGGGTCGGCGTCGCGGCCGCGCGCGCGCGCTCCCGGGCCCCTGCTTGGTCGTCAGAGTTGCCACCGACCCCTCCACAAGCTGTCTAGGCCTCTCGCCGCCGAGGAAGCCCTGCGTGCGGGCTCCCCAGGTGCGCTCCTTGGCTCAGAGTTTGTTACCCCGGCTCCGAGAGGCCCTGTCCCCCTCAAGTCGGGGTCGGAGGCAGACCAAGCAGATGTGGCCTTTGGAGTCAGACTTCCCTGAACCCCGAATCAAGTCTACACCCCCGCCCCGGCCCCCTGCACTTAGCGGTGAGCTTCCGTCTCTTCATCTCGAACGTGGGGGTAAAAACACCCATGTCTTGGAGCTCTTGAGGATTAAACGCAGATAATACCTCCAAAGCTCTTGGCAGACTGTTACTTAGGAAATACAAAATCCTCCGTACGGTAACCACGCCCCCCAGCCCCGCCCCCAAACTACACGGTAACCCAGGAATTCGACAACCTCACAGTGAATATTGATTGCCTAGGAATCGTGTTAAAAATGCATGTCTTGACGGAGGGGCTGAGATGACGCATTTCGGATGAGCTTCCAAATGATGTAGTGTTGCTGGCTACAGTTTCAGTAGCAAAGGACTAATCCATTTTCACTATGTATACTTGGACTTGACTGAATACTCTGGGTATTTTTAAAATGGGCATCACTGTGGAACAGTTGGAACCACGTAACTTGAAATCTCTAGGAGTCAACCCAACCCAAATAGTTTGCATCTAAACATTTTGTGAGCAAGGCAGATAAGGCGGTCTTCAGACTTCTCCCTATTCAGTGTTCCCATCTATTTTAAATTATACCTTTAAACCAAGCTGCCAGATGGTTCCTAGCAATGTCTTGCTTTGCATACAAGTGTGCCTTTATTATGTAATCATGGATCAAAATAAGTGCTGTTCTGAATGTAGGAGATAACTATTCATTGATCAGCAAGCTGTATTTTCTGACAGTTTACCATCTAAGTTCCAGAAAAAGCAAACAAAAATACGTTTATGGTTTTCAAAAGTTTTACCACAGAAGCTAACATGACACTTGCTGTATACTGAAAACTATTCCGAAATTATCTCGAGTTTTCATGCACAAAACATCTTGTACATTGATTTCATGGAGAATAAACTAAAAAGATCATAAATAACTTGCCAAGGTCCCAGTAAGTAACACAACAAACTTTCAGTCCAGATGTGATAAAGCAAAATCTTAGAGCAACTTAACTATCTCATGATAGAAATGGGAGCATAGGAAAGGATATATGTAAAAATTAGAGTATCATAGACTTAGTCTATTTGTTAATTAGGTTGTTTTTAAAATCAGGTTTATGGGAATCCCCTGGTGGTCCAGTGGTTAAGACTGTGCTTCCACTGCAGGGGGTGTGAGTTCAATCCCTGGTTGGGGAACTAAGATCCCACATGCTGTGTAGTGCAGCCGAAAATAAACAAACAAATAAATAAATAAAATCAGGTTCATGTAAAAAAAGTAAAAAGTTTTCTGTTTTTATAACTTACCCAATTTAGCTGCATTTTTAGGACATTATATAATGTATAGTATCAAACATTGCTTTTTATTGAGCTTTTAAGGAAAATGTAATACTCAACAGAGATCTGGGGTAATTGTTAATAGAAAACCATAAATAAATTTAGCTAGAGCTAAAATACTTAACCAGACATGGAACAATGAACTGGTTTAAAATTGGAAAAGGAGTAAGACAAGGCTGTATATGGTCACCCTGCTTATTTAACTTATATGCAGAGTTTTTGAAGTCCAAACTCCCTACCTCAGAATTTAATGGTATTGGCTATAGGACCCTTAAAGAGGTAATAAAGTTAAAATGAGATGGTTAGAGTTGCCCTAATCCCACTTGGGGGCTTCTCAGGTAGTGCTGAAAGTGAAAGTGTTAGTCACTCAGTCATGTCTGGCTCTTTGGAACCCCATGGACTACATAGCCCACCAGGCTCCTCTGACCATGAAATATATGCAGAGGATATTACGTGAAATGCCAGGCTGGATGAATCACAAGCTGGAATCAAGATTTCTGGGAGAAATAACAACAACCTCAGATATGCAGATGATACCACTGTAATGGCAGGAAGTGAAGAGAAACTAAAGAGTCTCTTGATGAGGATGAAAGAGGAGAGTGAAAACTCAACATTCAAAAAACTGATATCATGGCATCTGGTCCCTTCACTTTATAACAAATAGAAGGGAGGAAAAGTATAAGCAGTGACAAGTTTTCTTTTCTTGGGTTCCAAAATCACTGTGAAGGGTGACTGCAGTCATGAAGTTAAAAGATGCCTGCTCCTTGGAAGAGACAAACCTAGGTGGTGTATTAAAAAGCAGAGACATCATTTTGTCAACAAGGGTACATATAGTCAAAGCTATGTAGTCATGTATGGATGTGAGAATTGGACCATAAAGATGGTTGAGTGCTGAAGAATTCATGCTTTCAAGTTGGGGTGCTGGAGAAGACTCTTGAGAGTCCCTCGGTCTGCAAGGGAATCAAACCAATCAGTCCTAAAGGAAATCAACCCCGAATATTATTGGAAGGACTGATGCTGAAGTTCCAATACTTTGGCCACCTGATGTGAAGAGCTGGCTCAGTGGAAAAGACCCTGATGCTGGGAAGGAAGGAAAGCAAAAGGAGAAGGGGGCAACAGAGGATGAGATGGTTGGATGGCATCACTGACTCAATGGACATGAGTTTGAACAAGCTCCAAGAGATGGTGAGGGACAGAAAAGCCTGACGTGCTGCAGTCCATGGGGTCGCAAAGAGTTGGACATAATTTAGCGACTAAACAACAAAATTGCACTTTTTAAATTGATTACATTTCATTACCTTTGATGATTTTAAGAGCTCAAGGTACTAAGACATCTAAAGTTATTTATCTTTTGTCATTTATTGTCTCTGACATTGTGCTCTCTAACATCTCTGTATAGACCTGCTTTTTCTTTTTCTGTGAACTGTAGGGAAACACACATTCATTAGGAAGGAGCTTGGAAGGAAGAAACTGCATACAGGGAATAAACTACATACTTCTTAGCCTGTTTCATATGATATAATAGTAGCATGGAGCATGATTTGAGTACTGAGCAATCTGTATTGATCAGGACAGTGTAATGGTTAAGACTCAGGAGCCAGACTGCTGGGGTCTTGGGCGGATGACACGCCTTGCCTCTTTGTGCTTCAGCTGTACAGTGGACTGACTTCCCTGGTGGCTCAGACGGTGAAGCGTCTGCCTGCAGTGCGGGAGACCCGGGCTCCATTCCTGGGTTGGGAAGACCTCCTGGAGAAGGAAATGGCAACCCACTCCAGCATTCTTGCCTGGAAAATCCCATGGACGGAGAAGCCTGTTAGGCTACAGTCCATGGGGTCGCAAAGAGTTGGACATCACTGAGCGACTTCATTTTCACTTTCTTTCGCTTATACAGTGTGAATAATGATAGTAGCAATCTCATAGGATTGTTTTAAGGATTAAGTGAGTTTCTAGCTACATAGTGGTTGAAACATTGCCAGGTACACTTAGCAGTATTCAGTAAGTGAATACAAGTGAAGAAATCCAACTCAAATTGATTTAAGCAAAAGTGGGAATTTTTGAGCTCCTGTGGGGAGAAGTCTAGGGAGGCTAGAGCTTCAAACATGCTTGTATCCCAGTGCTCCAGCACTGTTACCAGGGATCTTCCTTGGTCCTGGTTCCACCTACCTCTGTGTAAGTTCCCTTCTCAGACAGGTTACCATTATGTAGTGTGGGGATTTCCTAATAGTCCAGTGAAAGTCCCAGGACTGTGTCTCATTGTCTGGACTTGGGTCCCAGAGTCCTTGCTGATTTAGTCAACGTAACTGGCCAGTTTGGGATGATACGCCCACCTCCAACAGTGGGACCCTCTTGAACCAACTAGGCTGAGAGAGGAGAGGGGTGGTTCCTCAAGCAGGCTGAGGTCCTGTCTTCCTCAGAGGGGCGCTGGATTCTGGGCAGGCAAAGGTCGGCAGTTTCCCTCTGGCACAGTGAGGCTGGGTGGGTTTGGTGCTCGTCCCCTCTTGTGCACCCCCGTCTGCTCCTGCAGGGCTCCTGGCTGCCAGCTCAGGTGTCACCGCCTTGGCTTCTCTCATCCAAGTACGCTAATGCTTTCCTTCTTGCTCTCGCACTCACGATATAGACAGAGCTTTTGGATATTCTTATTTCGGGTGGCTTGTTTGTTTGTTTGTTTTACTCTGTTCTAGCAAGATGTGTTCCAGCATCCTGGATTTTAGTTCTGCTGTCTAGATACCTGTTTTTCTGTTTTCAGACATCCATCTTTCTTTCAGGCTTTGACTGTTTCTTCCCCACACCTTTATAGCTTATAAAGCAGACTGGCCATTTACCCATTTAAAACATGTCTTGGGATACACTATATTTTGCTTGTTGAATTCCATTAAACTCTGTGTACAAAAAATATCTTCACAACCCAGATAATCACGATGGTGTGATCACTCACCTAGAGCCAGACATCTGGAATCTGAAGTCAAGTGGGCCTTAGGAAGCATCACTATGAGCAAAGCTAGTGGAGGTGATAGAATTCCAGTTGAGCTATTTCGAATCCCGGAAGATGATGCTGTGAAAGTGCTGCACTCAATATGCCAGCAAATTTGGAAAAGTCAGCAGTGGCCACAGGACTGGAAAAGGTCAGTTTTCATTCCAATCCCAAAGAAGAGTAACGCCAAAGAATGTTCAAACTACTGCACAATTGCACTCATCTCACACGCTAGTAAAGTAATGCTCAAAATTCTCCAAGCCAGGCTTCAGCAATATGTGAACTGTGAACTTCCAGATGTTCAAGCTGGTTTTAGAAAAGGCAGAGGAACCAGAGATCAAATTGCCAACATCTGCTGGATCATCAAAAAAGCAAGAGTGTTCCAGAAAAACATCTATTTCTCCTTTATTAACTATGCCAAAGCCTTTGACTGTGTGGATCACAATAAACTATGGGTAATTCTTCAAGAGATGGGAATACCAGGCCACCTGACCTGCCTCTTGAGAAACCTATATGCAGGTCAGGAAGTAACAGTTATAACTGGACATGGAACAACAGACTGGTTCCAAATAGGAAAAGGAGTACGTCAAGGCTATACCCTGCTTATTTAACTTATATGCAGAGTACATCTTAAGAAACGCTGGACTGGATTGCCAGGAGAAATATCAATAACCTCAGATATGCAGATGACACCACCCTTATGGCAGAAAGTGAAGAAGAACTTAAAGAGCCTCTTGATGAAAGTGAAAGAGGAGAGTGAAAAAGTTGGCTTAAAGCTCAACATTCAGAAAACTAAGATCATGGCATCCAGTCCCATCACTTCATGGCAAATAGAGGGGAAACAGTGGGAACAGTGTCAGACTTTATTTTTCTGGGCTCCAAAATCACTGCAAATGGCGATTGCAGCCATGAAATTAAAAGACGCTTACTCCTTGAAAGGAAAGTTATGACCAACCTAGACAGCATATTAAAAAGCAGAGACCTTACTTTGTCAACAAAGATCCATCTAGTCAAGGCTATGGTATTTCCAATGGTCATGTTTGGATGTGAAAGTTGGACTATAAAGAAAGCTGAGCACTGAAGAATTGATGCTTTTGAACTGTGGTGTTGGAGAAGACTCTTGAGAGTCCCTTGGACTGCAAGGAGATCCAACCAGTCCATCCTAAAGGAGATCAGTCCTGGGTGTTCATTGAAAGGACTGATGCTGAAGCTGAAACTCCAATACTTTGGCCACCTGATGCAAAGAGCTGACTCACTGGAAAAGACCCTGATGCTGGGAAAGAGTGAGAGCAGGAGGAGAAGGGGATGACAGGGCATGAGATGGTTGGATGGCATCACTGACTCGATGGACATGGGTTTGGGTGAACTCCAGGAGTTGGTGATGGACAGGGAGGCCTGGCATGCTGCAGCCCATGGGGTCACAAAGAGTCAGACATGACTGAGTGACTGAACTGAACTGAACTGTAACTCAGCCTTCCTATCTTGGAGATTACCCCTCAAAACACAATTACTTTTGGGGGACAGAAGTTGTTTTGTGATGAAGTATATATCTAGTTTTCTGACAGCCCATCTTGTCTGAAAGGTGAGATACTGATGTTAGGGGAGATATTAGTTTTCCATACCCCAGTGTTCATTACAGCACTATTTACAATAGCTAGGACATGGAAAGCAGCTAGATGTCCATTGACAGATGAATGGATAAAGAAGCTGTGGTATATATATACACAATGGAGTATTATTCAGCCATAAAAAGGAACACATTTGAGTCAGTTCTAATGAGGTGGATGAAACTAGAGTTTGTTACACAGAGTATAGTAAATCAGAAAAACAAACTTTGTTTACTTTTGCACATAATATGGAATCTAAAAAGATGGTACTGATGAAATTATTTGCAGGGCAGCATGGAGACACAGACATAGAGAACAGACTTGAGGACGTGGCTGGTGGGGGGAGGAAGGAGAGGGTGGGATGTATGGAGAGAGTACCGTGGAAACATACGTTACCATATGTGAAATAGAGAGCCAGTGGGGTTTGCTGTATGACAGGGAACTCAAACCAGGGCTCTGTGACAACCTGGAGGGGAGGAGCGGGGAGGCTCACAATGAGGGGACGTGTGTACCCGTGGCTGGTTCCTGTTAATGTTTGGCAGTTTACAATTCTGTATAGCAATGATCCTTCAATTAAAAAATAAATATAAATAAAAATATAAAATAAATATAAATAAAAAATTAAATATAAGATGTATAGATAGAATCCAAGCAGGACGGTAAGTGGATTGGACTAGTTGAAGCTTAAGACATCTTTAATCATTAAGTTCTGATATGTTTACATATCAGATATGTAACAACAGCAATTTTGGTAAAGATAAGCTTATTATTTTTTATGTGTTCAGTAGTGTCTTTGTGAAAGTTGTGTTTCATTTGTCCTAATTCATGTTTTTTTGTTAAAAGTCAGAGCAACCTCTGTCCTTCCCACATTTGGTCCATCATGCCTATTTAAAGGACACTTGAGCACCAAAAGTAACGGTAAGTGAGGTACTTAAAATGGTACAACATGGTTAAAAGATTGACCAGCAGTGTTTCCTTATTTGTAAATGACGTAGCTTGGTGAGAAGAGGCTTCGTTTAGTCAGTGTTTGAGCTTCACACTCTGCTGTGCTGTGCCCGCTTGTGCGCTGCCCTTCACTGCTCCGTGGACCGTTGCCCACGGGCACCTCTGTCCATGGGATTCCCCAGGGAAGGGTACAGGGGTGGGCTGCTGTTTCCGCCTCCTCATACTACCACTTAGAATTAAATATTGCAAGAATTCCTGAGACGAGAGAGTGTGGGAGTCCATCCTGCCCTAGATGTGGCCCTGGTCGCCTCCTGCCCCCGGCAACAGCTCCAGTCCAGCTCTTCTGTTGCTGGCAGACTGCCCTGGCTAAAGTCTTGCCTTCCTTGTTAAACTGGTGATTAGCAGGTGGTTAAAGACACAGCACTGAAGAGGAAAAGCCAGGCAGAGAAAGAGAGCACTTAAAAAATCCATTTTGTATCAGGAACAAACACTTGTCCAGTTGGGCCTCTTTATCCAGTTGGGATTTCTGGATCCTCTGAAAGGAAAATCTATATTTCTCTAAGATGTTCTCTAAATCTATATTCTCTAAGATCTAACATCTTAAGATGTTTTCACATTTTAAGGACTTTAAATTTTAATGTACATTCTAAATATTTTATAATTATAGCTTAAAATGTTTAAGCCTGGGTTTTTGGTCAAAATAATTGGAAGTCTTTTTTTCCTTATTTACATGGAAAAATATGATGCTGATCCTACACATGGGAAAGAAGAATCATTTTCAATTACTCATTTATTTCTTGATAATAAAGTATATATACACATAGAGCCAGAATCATAAACTTGGAAAAATAATTTTTAAATAAAAATTTTGAACTAGTTTTAAAAGATACCTACATAGAAAAACAGGCTGAAGAGCAGTATGTCATTTACTAACTTTTTTTTAAAAGAATATGTGTGCAGAGCTGGTACAGGAACAGTGAGTGTAAGGATGAGATTGCTTTGGTTCACATCTAAACTACATCCTTTATCAGCTGTGTGGCCTTGGCGACTTTACGTCCCTATTCCTCAGCTTTCACATCTGATGATAATGACTAAATGAGTTATTACATGTAAAGAGCTTAGAACAATACATGCATGGTACCTATTCAATAAATGTTTTTAGTAGTAGCTGTAGGATCAGTGTCAAGGTTATCATTATTGCATATACTTTTATTATGCATAGAATTTCCTTAGACATATGCATTAAAGAAGTAGCAAAGTTTACTTCTGGGAGAGAACACTTAGGGTCAGAGCAGGAAATTTACTACTTTTCAGTGTCTATGCCATTTTAGCTGTGATTTTTTTAAACTACATGCGTGTATTATTCTCAAAAACTGTTTAATATTTTAAAAAGTTATGCCTGTGTTTATGTTTATATTTTATATGTTTATACTTGTATATGCATGCTTAATTCTAAGATTTCTTTTAACAGTTTAGATGAGGTCAAGAAGTTTAATGTCATCTAATTTCTTCGTGATTGTACTTGTCTTAAAGTTGTCCTAATACTTCAAAAGAATGCAGTAAACTGATTTGTAGGTCTTGTTTTCAGGTATAAAATTAGAAATTTTCATCTCAGAATAGAATCTTCACCTGTAGGATTTGTTTGATTTCCCAGACCAGTGTATTCAAATGTTAACCATGATACCATTATTTTATCATCAGGCAGGCAGCTAAACGTTTTTAGTTACGAGGTTGAGAGCTGTCAATAAGAAATAGTTTTGTAAATGTAATGGTAGATCATCCTCCACAGTCTCTTCCCAAAGCTCTCAGGCTTGGAAAACTTGAGAAGGTTAGAACCCAGAGTAGTCAGTAGCTCGTCAGGTATCATTGCAGGATGACGGCTAGGACACACTCAGCATCACAGATACAATGCCAGTATCTCCATGGTTACAGTTCAGAATATTTTGTAAAAATGTACTTAATGAATAACTTGTTTATCTCGTGATGATTTTTAAATTCATTTTAAATATATAATGATTAAATGTGTTTTAATTTTTAGCTTTTTGCACTGACTCCTCCTCTCTCAGACTAAGTACCCTCCAACTGGTCAAGAATCACATGGCTGTTCACTATAATAAAATCCTTTCAGCCAAAGGTAAACATGTGCAAATGTTACTTTCTGTACCCAGTTTAAACCCTTTCCAGCTTCACTTCTAATTTGTGTTAATGTGTAGTGAAAATGAATACATTATATACCAGTGGGTTTGTGCTTGGTGTAGTAAAGTACCAACTACAGATTCTATACACCTAGCAAATTCGGAATGCCATTTACAACTGTGTTTGAATATAATGTCTCTGTTGTTTCGTTTTACCTGTGTTATTCCTAATATATTTTTGTGATTAGATGCTGATCTTAATACTGTGATTAGACAGTAATTTATGATCTGTTCTTTCTAACCCATTCATTCTTTTATGTATTGTCTATAGTGGCTTTGTACTAAAAGGCAGAGTTGATTAGTTGTGATGAGGCTCTGTGATCCTGCAAAGCCTGAAGAATTTACTGTCTGTCCTTTTACAGAGCATGTTCATGACTCCTGGTATAGACCATTTCATCATTTCACCAAAAACTTCTCCTTGGTCCTTTGCAGGCACTCTCTTCCCTCCAGTTCCTGGCAACCACTGATCTCCTTTCCTTACTGCAGTTTTGCCTTTTCTAGAATTCCATATAAGTGGAATTATACTATATGTATCATTTTGGATCTAACTTACTTCAGTTAGTTAACACTCTTGAATCCATGGTCATTATTTCTTACTTGTTATTGCTAAGTAGTATTCCATTTAATGAATATACCATAGTTTGTTTATCGAAGTTCACCAGTTGGTGGACATTTGGGTTATCTTGATTCACTTTTGGCTATTAGGAATAAAGCTGCTGTAAGCATTCATATAGAATCTTTGACCGTATGTTTCCTTTTCACTTGGATAAATTTATTTACTAGGAGTGGAACTGTGGGGTAATATAGTAAGTGTATGTTTAACTTTATAAGAAACTGCCAAACTGTTTTCCAAAGTGGCTGTCATTTTTCATTTCCATTTCTTCCACATTCTCACCAACACTTCCTATTAGCAGTCCTTTTTTAGTTTGTATTTCCCTAATGCCTGATGATGATAAAAAAAAAAAGGAAAAAAAGCTGCTTAAGTTGAAGTATAGTTGATATACAATATTATGTTAGTTTCAGATATACTGCATAGTGATTTGACATTTGCTTATGCTCTGAAATGATCAGCAAGGTAAGTTTACCAACCATCTGTCCCCATAAAAAGTTAGTTACTGTATTATTGACCCTTTCCCTTATGCTATATATTACTTATTTGCAGCTTACTTATTGCATAGAAGGAGGCTTGTACTTTTTAATCCCGTTCACTTATTTTGCCCCACATTCTCAGCTTCCTCTTTTTTGCCAACCTCATTTACTCTCTGTATCTGAATCTTTTCATTTTGTTTGTTTTGTTTTTCAGATTCCACATGTAAATGAGATCATACTGTATTTGTCTTTTTTGTCCAGCTTCTTTCACTTCCAATAATACCCTCTAGGTCCATTCATATTGTAGCAAAACACAAGATTTCATTTTTTGTAGCCAAGTAATGTTCCATTGTGTATATATACCACACCTTGTTTTTTCATTCATCTGTCAAAAGATACTTAGATTGCTTTGATATCTTGGCTATTGCAAACAATGCTGCAGTGAACATAAGCATATAGCTTTCCAAATCAGTGTTTTAATTTCCTTCAGGTAAATTCTCAGAAGTGGAGTTACTGACTCATATGGCAGTTCTGTTTTTAACTCTCTGAGGCGCCTCCTCACTGTTTTCCGTAGTGACTGCACCAGTTTACAGTCCCACCAGCAGGGCATGAGGGGGTCCCTTTCATTGAGCAACTTGTCTTACTCTTATTTCCCACCTGTGTGTCGTCTTTGGTAAAATATCTATTTAACTCTTTTGCCATTTTTTAGAAAATGGGTTGCTTGTCTTCTTAGTATTAAGTTGTGAGAGTCCTCTTTATATAAATACAGTCCTGTGTCAGATACATGTTTTGCAAATGTTTTCTCCCAGTCTGTGATTTGTCAATTCATTTTCTTTATTTAAGTTTTTATTATGAAATAACTTTAGACTTAATAGAAAAGTTTCAAAAATAGTACAAGATGTCACGGAAACCCTTCACTTGACTTTCTCTGATATGAAGATCTTATATAGCTATAGTATAATTATTAAAACCAGAAAATTAATATTGACAGCATACTATTAACTATAGACCTTATTTGAATTTCACTAGTTTTTCACCCATGTCTTTTACAGAATTTTTTATTTTATCATTTGAAGAACTAAAATTTTTTAAATTTTGGTTAAGTTTTAGCTCCTACATTAAGTTTATAATCCATTTTGAATTAGTCTTTGCGTGGGGTATTATATAAGGATCAGTTTTTATGCCTAAAAATAAGTGCCTTTTGTTGAAAAGATTGTCCTTTCCTCATGGAACTGCCTTGGCACTTTTTAAAAGATAATTGACCATATGCAAGGGTCTGTTTCTAGACTTACTCTTCAGTTCTGTTGATCTGTATGTCTGTTACAACACCACACTGTCATGGTTGCTATAACATTACAGTGAGTCTTGAAATCAGATGATGTCGCTGCTCTCATTTTGCTTCTTTTCCTCAAGATTGTTTTGGGACTCCAGTTACTATGTTAAGTGAATGATACAGGTAGGTGAAGTCAGTGATGCTCAATACATTCGTTTTCCGATGTTCACTCTTTCATTTTGAAGAGTTTACTTTGCTGTGTTTTCAAATTCACTAATGTTTCCTTCTGCAGTATCCAGTGAGCTGTTAATCCCAACCAGTGTGTTTTTTATCAAGGATATTTTTCATCTCTAGAAAATATCAAAACAAGGAACTTCAAGTTTTGGAACTTCTTATGATTTTCACTTTTCATAGTTATTGTCATTTATAAATATTAAGAATAGTATTAAAACAACTGATTTCTCTCTTTCAGCTGCAGTAGACTGCTCAGTTCCACTAAGCATGAGTGCCAGCATCAAATGTAAGTAATTTTTAACATAACTGCCTTTTTAAAAAAAAATTATGGTTAATTGCACACACAACTTAAAATTTACCTTCTTAACCATTTTTAAGTCTACAATTCAGTGATGTTAAGTGCATTCTTCTTGTGGTGCAGCCATAACCACTGTCCATTTCCAGAGTTCTTTTCGTCTTGGCAGAACTGAAACTCTGCCAAATTTGTTGTGATCGGTGTATCCAGGGCAACAGCAAGAAGAGCTGCGTAGCTGGTGTGAAATAAACCAGCTGAAGAGTGACAGGTGATGAGGTCATTGAGATAGGTCAGAGAGATGCAGACCACCAGGGTTTGGCCGTTTACAAGCGCTTGGGCTTTCACTGTAAATGACATTGGAAGCCGTTAGAAGGTCTTGAGTAGAGGAAGAGGACTGGCCAGTTTAACTTTAAAAGTATTTTTCTGGCTGGTAAGTTGAGAATAGTCTACAAGGGGCAATGGTAAAAGCAGAATGACAGTTGGGAAACAGTAAATCAATGAGAAGTACTGGTGACTTGGATCAAAGTGCTTGTAAGTCAAGGGGTGTGTGTGTGTGTGTGTGTGTGTGTGTGTGTGTGTGTGTGTGTGTGTGTGTGTGTGTGTGTGTACAAGCTTAGTCACTCAATCCTGTGTGTTGGGAAACAGTAAATCAATGAGAAGTACTGGTGACTTGGATCAAAGTGCTTGTAAGTCAAGGGGTGGGGGTGTGTGTGTGTGTGTATGTGTGTGTGTGTGTGTACAAGCTTAGTCACTCAATCCTGTGTGTGTGTGTGTACAAGCTCAGTCACTCAATCCTGTACTGGTGACTTGGATCAAAGTGCTTGTAAGTCGAGGGGGGGTGTGGGGTGTGTGTGTACAAGCTCAATCACTCAGTCCTGTCCAACTTTTTGTGACCCCCAGGGACCGTAACCCACTAGGCTTCTCTTTCCATAGGATACTAACTGTGCTTGTAAGTAGAGGGAGTATGAAATGGCTTGATTCTGGAAACTTTTCAGATGTCTGTCAACAGTATTTCCTGATGAATTGGATGTTGATAGAATATGAGAGAAAAACAGGAGTGAGTCAGAGATGACTCCCAATGCTAAAAAGACAAGAGTTATAATTTACTGATGTTGGAAATATAATAGGAAAGTATTTAGGGGAGGAAGTGAATCAAGAATTCAATCTTGGTCATTATAAGTTAAAAATAAATACCTATTAGAAATCCAAGTGGAGATGCTGAGGAGGCAGTTGGAATACAAAGCCTGGAGCTCAAGAGGAGGTTCCAGGGTGGATATAAGAATTCAGAAGTTGACAGCATATATGTTATACTTACAGAATTGCTCCTATTTTTTGTTTTTAGAATTTAGACTTATTGCTTATTTATCCCATGATACTTTCTGCCTTCAGTCAGTTGAGACAGAAGTTTTTCTTTATGGTCATGTAAATAAAAAAAATTGTGATGTCTAGAGGAACTGCAAAGATTATCATCACCACATTGAAGTATAGTTAATAATCATTACTTTGTGTGTAACATAGCTGATGTACATTCTAAGCAATACTGACTTTCTTAGAAACAGGCTTTATAGACATATTTTCAAAAAGAAATAAATCTCTGGCCTTGAATCATCTCTGTTTTTATAGTCTTCTGCCAAAGCAGACAACTGAATTGATAATTTCAGTCATTTCTGAACTAGGATATCTCTATACTTTGTTGAATTGTTTAAGTAACTCCATATTCTAATGCATTAGAAAGAAAGGCTTTCCTTTTTATGTCTCTAGTTTTGGCTGTGCAGGGTCTTTGTGGCTGTGCGTGGGCTTTCTCCAGGTGCAGTGAGCAGAGGCTGCCCTTCACTGTGGCTCGCCTTCACTGTGCTTTCTCCTGCTGTGAGCGCAGGCTCTGGAGGAGGGCTGTCGCCGTGGCGCGTGAGCTCAGCCGCCCCGCCGCGTGTGGAGCCGTCCTGGGCCGGAGACTGAACCCGTGTCGTCTGCCTCTGCGGGCAGAATCTTAACCATTGGGCCACCAGGGGAGTTCCAAGAAAGGCTTCACCTTTTATAGCAGTTTATTGACAAATAATTTTCATACCATAGAATTCATGGATTTTTACTAAATTTACAAAATTATGCAGTCATCACTACAAACCAGTTTTAGAATATTTTCATCATCTTAAGAAGATCCCCAAAGTTGTAGCTTTGCAGCTGCTTCCTCATTCCACTCCCAGCCTTGAAAGCCACTAATCTGTTCTCTTTCCCTACACATGTATTTATCAGTTGGTTGACACTTTTGCTGCTTGTTTTTTGACCATGATGAATAGTGCTGCTGTGAACATTCGTGTACAAGTCTTTCTGTATGGACGTAAAGTTTCATTTCTCTTGAGTATACACCTGAGAATGGAATTGCTAGCTCATCTCATAACATTACATTTAACTTTTTAGGAGATTCCCAAACCGTTTTCTGAAGTGACCATACCATTTTACATTCTTGCCTACGACATATTAGGATTTCAGTTACTCCATATCCTTGCTAACACATTATTGATTCCTCTTTTGATTAATAGCCATTTTAATGAGTGTGAAGTGGTATCATGATTTTAATTGCATTTTCCTCATGATTAATGATGTAGAGCATTTTTATATGCTTATTGGCCATTTGTATTAAATGTATCTTTAGTAAAGTTCTTTTCAGATGTTTTGTCCCATTTTTTTCCCCCAAATCAGGGTCATTTGAAACTTGAAATTATCTTGCCCATCAAGTTGAGATACATTCCAATTAAAAAGCATATGTTAAATTTAAAATTTTACATGAAAATACAAGTCATTTAATTTATGGTTAGCCTTCTTAAATTTTTTATTCTTGGCTGCACTGGGTCTTCATTGCTTTGTGCAGACTTTCTTCAGTTGCAGCGAACAGAGGCTACTCTTGGCTGCTGAGCGCAGGCTTCTCATTGCGATGGCTTCCCTTGTAGACCCCAGGCTCTAAGCCCGTGGGCTTCAGTGGGTGTGGCTCACGGGCTCAGTCGTTACAGCTTGCGGGCTCTAGAGCACAGGCTCAGTAGCTCTGTGATGGAATCCTCCCGGACCAGGGCTCGAAACCATGTCCCCTGTACTGGCAGGCTGATCGTTATCCACGGTGCCACCAAGAAGGTCCCGCGCCTTCTTTTTAATTCTGAAACTGGACTAGCTTTCATTTTGCTGTTTTCAGTCTTTGAAAATGACTCAGTACCTGACTTAAAGCACACTAAAATGTGAAACCACTTTTTTGGTTTGTATTTTCAAATGAATAGCAGTTAAGAAAAATGGAAGTCAGTTATCCTAATTAAAAATAATATTTTAAAATTTAATGTCATTTTTTGTCATATAAAACTTAAATTTTTATAGCATATGATGGTATTGACAATAATATTTCATTTGTAGGGGAGTATATGAATTAATTCAAACTCTGCATTTCTAACCTTTGTATCTCTATATCTTCTAGCAGTTGTTCCCTTGAGCCCTTAGGCTTAATCAGTTTGTCATATCTTGTTTGTGCTCTTTAAACAGTTAATCCATTTGAAGTTTCAGAAAACCATGTGGATTTTTATTTACATATCAGTAGTGCAAACATTTTTAGCAAGGAAAAAAGTACTCTTTCTTAGTTTTCAATCATCAAAAAATTAATTTTTCTATTTTACTCTGTATTTCAAAAGAATTTTTTCCCCTCAGATGCAGACCAGCAACGAAGAGAGAAACTCAAAAAGGAATTAGCAAGGTGTGGAAGGGAGTTGAAATTTACTAAGATTACAGTGCATTCTAAAAGTCATTGCAAATCGTTACTTAACCCTCTACAAAAGGTAAGATAGTATTTTTACCTTTTCAAAGTAAATGTTTTAAGATACTTCATTGATGGTACAACCTGAGTTTTTGATAATGTTTACTATAGGTCAGAATTGGTGACCTTTCCTGTAAACAGTCAAACAGTAAATATTTCAGGCTTTCTCTGTTGCAACTGTTGCGCCCCTAGAAAGCTGCTGTAGGCGGCACTGAAATGGATGGATGCGCTTTGTTCAGCAAACCGTTAACAGAAAAAGATGGTGGGCCAGATGTGATCTGTAGGGGGTGTAGTTTGCTCACCACTGCTTTAGGTTTTTTGGGATACCCTTTGTCATCTGATTAAGGAAGCTCTTTTCAGTTCCTCACTGCTTAGAGAATTTTCTTCCTTTCTCATGAATATATGTTAATTTTATCAGATGCTTTTTCTGCATTTTTTGAAATGATGGTACAGTTTTTCTTTTTAATGTATTTCAAATATAGTGAATTAAAATTGAGTTTCTAATGTTAAATCAATTTTGCATCCCTAGTATAAATATAGCTTTGTCATGATATATTACCTTTTTTAACACATTACTAAATACAGTTGCTAACATTTTGTTTAGGATTTTAGCATCTGTGTCCATTATTGATACTGACCTGTCATTTTCCCTTTTTCTACTGTGTCAGGTTTTGCTAGCCTCCTAAAATAAACTGGGTGCTACTTCCTCTTTTTCCATGCTCTAGAGTAGTTTATGTAAGTTTGTAATTATTTGTTCCTTGAATTTGATGGATTCCAACATTAAAATTATTTGGGCTTAGAGTTTTCTTTGTGAGATTTTTTGACTGATGCAATTTTTGAAATCATCATAGAACTATTTTCGTAAGTTGTACATATGGAGAAAGTTGTCCATTTCATCTAACTTTTCAAATTCTTGGCGTAGTCTTATTCATAATCTCTTAAATCATATCATAATCTCTCAAATATGTATTACTACTTGTTATCTTAATATTGCTTATTTATGCCTTTTTTCTTCCTTTCTTTATTATTCTATACCAGAGATTTGTCAGTATTATTAACCTTTTTAAGGGCATATTTTTAACTCTGTTGATCCTTTGATAATTTGCTTTCTAGTTCAGTAATGTAAATGCTTATCCTTCTTCTCCTCTTGGCTTTCATTGAGTTTATGTTGCAGTATTTTTCTGCATTTGTTCAGCTTATTTTCAGCCTCACTTTTATAGTGTAAACATTTTAAGCCTGTGTGTTTTTCTCCAAGTACTACTTCAGCCGCACTCCTCAAGTTTTGATATGTGGTATTTTTATTGCAGTTTAATTCAAAGTATTTTATAGTTTCCATTATAATTTTTTCTTTAACTCGTCTTTTAGAATTATTCCTTAATCTCTATGTCTGTTTTTTCTCCTGGTTTTCTCTTTGCTACAGATTGCTAGCCTAATTATATGTTGATCAGGGAACATCTGTGTGATACTCATTTCTTGAAATCTGTTGAGACTTGTTTTATGTCCCAATAGGTGGAGAGTTTTTTTTTTAATGCACTATCATTATGTGTTTGAAAAGAAAATATGTTTTATAGCTCTGTGCAGCGTTTAATATATAGTATATTTATTAGATTAAGTTTATATACTTTAGATGTTCAAATCTTTTTTTTTTTTTGGTCTGATTAGTCTGTTATGATTATGTATTTAGGTATTTCTCAAAAAATTAGCACCAGCAATTTTTGTTTTATGTATTTTCAGTCTGTATAATTACATACAGACATGCTTGTTCTTGTTTAGTTGCTAAGTCATGTCAGAGTCTCTTGCAAAACCATGGACTGTAGCGCAGCAGGCTCATTCTCTCCATGGCATTTCCCAGGGAAGAATACTAGAGCAGGTTGCCATTTCCTCACCCAGGGTATCTTCCCAACCCAGGGATCGAACCCGTGTCTTCTGCATTGGCAGGCAGGTTCTGTACCACTGAGCCACCAGGGGAGCCTGCATAGAGACTTGATGATATATTTTCTTGGTCAATCAGACCTGCTGTCGCTATGCTTTGAATTTATTTACCTTGATGCTTTCAGTGTTAATATTGAAGTGTTTTCTGATAGTAATATAGTTAAACTAGCCTTCATTTCATTGGTATTTCTTTGTGTATCTTTCTCCATTTTTTAATCCTAATAGTCTAGGTGGGTCAGATTATTCACTGATAATTTTTGTTCTTTAAAGTGATGTGCTTCATATATTTTTATTTCTTCCTTCTTATTATGTTGTGTACTTTCTGTTTGACCCATGATAGTAGGCAGAATTCTGAGCCCCACAGTGACGCCTACCTTTAAACAATCCCCTCTTCTTGCATGTAGGCAAGACCTGTAACTTGCTTCTAACCCATGGCATGTGGCAGAGGTGATGGGCTGTCACTACCATAGTTGTTAATGGCAAAGTGAAGCGAATTTCCCCCTGTGACTGAGAGAAAGAGAAAATAGGTTGGGAATAATTTCTGTAGTGGTTGCTGTTCCCCTCTCCTAGCCGTGTCAAAGAGACACGAGAAAGGGGCTCTTTCAGAGCTCCTCCCTGAGAGCTTTTGGTGTGGGTCCTAGAGGAAAAGGCTTGCAAGCAGGTACAGACTCCCCAAGTCTCAGAGGCCTCGGACACCTACACAAGTCTACACTAAGTCTCAGCAGTTAGCTGAAGATGTCTAGCAGAATCTTACCAGCTTGTGTGCCCTTCAGCAGCTTCCGTCGCAGGTAAGCACTTGCTCTGGTCCTGTTCTCCCTGCGGGCGCCTGCTCACCCTGAAGTTCAGGCTAGTCGTTTGCTCTGTGACCTTGTTTCTCTCATTAGTTCAAGAAAAATTATTAATTTGCAAGGTGTCCAGCTTTTTTCTTGTTGAAACAGTGAGAGCTGTGTTTTTACCATTTCTCAGCTGAAACTGGAAATCTTTGTGTGTATAGGACAGTCTCTTTAAACTTTTTAATTTTGAAGATTTTAGCATCTGTAAAGACAGTGGTATAGTGAACCCACATGTTTTTGTCCCCCAAGTGCAGCCATGATCAGTTCAGGGCCAGACTTACTACTTCACATATAGCCTCATTCACTGCCTCCCTCCCAGATTATTTTTATGCAAATGCCAGATATATATATATTTTTCATCTATAAATATTTCTTTATGTATCTGAAAGACCACCATACCATTATTGTGCCTTTAAATTAATAATTCCTTGATATCATCAAATATCCACTGTTCAGAGTTCCCTATTGTCTCTTTTCTTTTTAGTTTGTTAGGATTGGCATCTAAGTAATTTCAACTAATTGATAGATTTCTTTTCATCTCTCTTCCTCTCATCTTTTTATCCCACTGCAGGTTAGGTGTTGGGAAAAACCGAGTCATTTGTCTTGGTTTACAGTTTCTGTGGACCATCTGGGTATTGCAGATTTAGGCTGCAGTCTTGTGTGGAAGCAGCGTATAATTTCAGTGTTGAGATGGGCAAGTTTGCTTGCACGTCACTGCTTGGGGTGTAGCTGTTGAGAGGATCCCAGCTTTGTGAGCGTGTTCTCCTAGACGGTCTGGATGAGGCCCTGGGCTTTGTTTCCTGTCCCCTAGTAGCAGCATCGCCATGGTAAAAGCCACTGTCACAGCTGCCCTTCCTAGGTACCGAGTGGCATTTTTTTAACTCCAGCTCTTGGCATTGTACATGAGGGTGTGACATGTCAGCAGGCAGGGGGAGTGAGTAAGAGCACTTGTAAATTAGTAGTGAACCTGGGTCCTTTTTACATGAGGAGTGTGGGGGAATCAGAGACCAGCTCTTAGTTGGGAGGTTATGTCATCATACTGACTCATTATGTGACAGTTTGCGGTATAGGGAGGGCTTCCCTAGGGCTCAAATAGTAAAGAATCTGCCTGCAATGCAGGAAGCCCAGGTTCAGTCCCTGGGTTGGGAAGATGCCCTGGAGAAAGGCACGGCTACCCACTCCAGGGTTCTTGCCTGGAGAATCCCATGGACGGAGGAGCCTGGCAGGCTGCAAAGAGTTGGACATGACTGAGCGACTTTCACTCACTGCAGTGTGGGGAAGAAATGATTAAGACATGGTACGTAAGACAGCAGAAGGAGCACAAGGAAGGTAAAGTAGAATCCCCAGGACTTGGTGACTGACTCGATGAAAAGCACGAGGCAGGAATTACAGAGTTCCCAGGTTTCTGGTTCGGGCAATGGGGAGGATGGTGATCATTCACTGAAAGAATAACAGGACAAAGTGCAGGCGTTTTTTTTTTTTTGGACAGGGGGGTGGGGGAGGCAGGTAATACAAAGTATGAGTTTACCTGTTTGGACCTGCTTGATTGGAGATGCCTTTGGAACATCTAATATATTCAGTAGAGAGTTGGACAGAAGTATCTGTGTCAAGAAAGAGGTGTGGGCTGAAAACAGATTTGGGCGGCATCAGGAAAGCTGTAACTACGGTGAAGAGCCCCCAAGGCTGTTACACTGATAGGAAGGACCAGAAACAGAGCTGCTTCCTTTAGAGCAGACCTACTCTACCCTGTGCCGTCTGGGAGCATGGGCATCAATATTTGACTCGTGTGTACTTTCATTTTTACTGACTATTTTTAAACTGAAAATTTTAAATGCATTTCTGTTATCTAGCATTTTGAATATCAATTGATAATTATATTTTGAGGTAAGAATGGGACTTGTTGAAAACAAAATATATAATTAAGTCTGTAAATGTAGGACTTTTTCATTCATTTTTCCTTTAGTCATTGTAACCCTATAACTTTTTTTCTCTAAGTTGGGAAGTTATGTCATCATACTGACTCATTATGTGACAGTTTGCAGTATTATTCTTTTCATTATTCTTTTATATAGGAATATAGACTTCATAGTAATTTGCAGTTCACTTACATTTTTATAAAACTTGATAAATGTTTAGGTACATTTAAGTTAAAATTATCATTTGAGGCATAATATTTTGATAATTGGATGGGTTTTATGGGTAACAGATGCCTGTGGTTATAATCTGCATTTACTGGAAAGTTTGCTATAATTAAAAAGAAAGTGATAACTTTAGCCTGTGGACATACTAGCTGTTTATATACATGAGATCAAGTAATCAAAAACCTTTTCTTTAATTTCCCACACTCTTAATATGGGCTACTTTTTTTCTCTCACATTTTGACTCACATGCTGTCACCTCAGACACTTCAGTTTGCACCCTGTACCCTACACACAGATATTCACCATTCATTCACATCACTGGTGTAGCACATACTATGTGCTGTTAAGATTAGTTGAATATATGAATGTGATTATGTTCTTAAATAAATGTATTTTAAAAGCACTATAAAACAACAAAAATGAGAAGCTCTCAGTTTGTCTTATAAAGTACAATTTGAAGCTTTTTGCAAAATAAATGCAATCAAATTTTTAAATAAATTGTACCCATCCTGTTCCACACTAGAATTGGTTCCTTAACTGTTTTAAAACTGTTTTACAGTTGGAAAATGTCTGTATACCATTTTTTCTGATATTATCCCTGAAAAAGATTGTTTTAATACACAGTTGTTCTGTGATTATAAAATTGGATAGGTATTCTTGACATAAAAACATGTTTCTGTAAACTTTCAATGATTATCACTTTATATAAATTCTTAAATCACAGAAACAGTTTATAACAAATTGCAGTAAACTAGAAAGTGACAGTGGTCAGATTATCACCAGAATTTTTTCCCATTGACATATAATTGATGAGTCCTTTTCTGATTTTAAAACTTTACAGTGATTTGCTATTTTAATTTTGGTGAATTTACCAGTGTGTTGCACATTTTCTGTGAAAATTATATCCGAACTTTCTGCTATTCACAGCTAAAAATTCTATAATCTGAAAAAAGCAGATTGATAATAGTTGATTTTACACTGTGTTCTACTGGTTTCCAAGAAAAGACAAGGTAGGATACATGGTAGAGATTATAAGATATAAAGATACAGAAAAGTTTCATGCCTTCAGTTGATTCAAGAGCAATTTTCCCAGCCCATTTCAGGCACATGAGAGTATATTTCTATCTTTAAAGACTTGAGTGTTTCAGTTTGTTTATTAAATAGCCATTACTGATAAGAATTTTCTTATAGACAGTTTGATGCTTTATGCATCTCTGCCTGCTATGATCTCAGTTTGTACTGTTCCCCAAGTGTAAATAATTCCTGTGATTATTATTTAATAGCCCTAAAAGACTTTTCAGATCGAACTATAAATTGCTTTCCAGGGATTCAGGACTCCTCTGATATGTAAGCTGCAGTGTGAACCTAGTTTGGTAACACTTTTTACAACTACATATTAAAGTCATTAACTTAAATAGTGCCCTAGTAACTCACAATTTAATGCCAAAATACTTTGTTGCTTTGAGTCATTTTGCCTTTTATTTGGATAGAGTTAGAAAGAACTTGGAAAGGAAATAGGTAGATTTGCCCTATTTTAGCTGTAAGCACAATATCCAGTTATCTGCAGTTTACTTACGAGGCAGATCAATACTTGAGTTAGCTGACTTGTTCACTACCATGAAAGGAGTTGAAATCAGTTTAAGATTCCTGAAGGTATAAAAAATGAATAATTTTCAAACGAGTCTGTAAAATAGTATGATACAGTGCGATGAGTTCAAATCTGTGAGACCCCGCACTTCGGTTTCTTCACCTGTGAAGCAGAGGTAATAATTGTGCCACCACCCAGAAGTTGATGCAGCGATTAAATGAGTTGTATATGTAAATTAACTGGAGCAGAGTCTTGCACATGGTTTGTGCTCCGTACATAGTAGTAAAGTGACGGAAGTTATTACTCCTCTTACTTCTGCTCACGAGCAGTAACAGTGTCTTGTGCATTGAAAGCGCTCAGCTCCTCCTCACTCAGCGTATCTTCCTCTTATTTTCCTCCTCATGAGCTTGTAGGACAGATACAACTGGATAAATCCTAGCCTTTTTCACCTCAGTTTAACTTCCATGTAACTTCCCCTGTACCATTTAATGAAGTGTCTCAGAGTTCTGTTAAAGGTACACAGGTGTCCATACAGTCTGGAATTATAGACAAGATTTCTTGGGCAATTTGTCTGTAAAAGAATAAAATGTTACCAATACTCTTAAGCCTTATGAATCCACAGTAGAAATAGTTCTTCCAAAGTTAAAGCATACATATATACAATGTAATACTACTGAGCCATAAAAAAATGAAATAATGCCATTTGCAGCAACAAAGATGGAGTGAGAAGTAAGTTAGAAAGAGAAAGAAAAATACCATCAGTTCAGTTCAGTTCAGTCGTGTCCAACTTTTTTCAACCCCATGGACTGAAGCACGCCAGGCTTCCCTGTCCCTCCCCAACTCCCGGAGCATGCTCGAACTCAAGTCCATCAAGTCGGTGATACCATCCAACCATCTCATCCTCTGTCGTCCCCTTCTCCTCCTGCCTTCAGTCTTTCCCAGCACCAGGGTCTTTTACAGTGAGTCAGTTCTTCACATCAGGTGGCCAAAGGATTGGAGTTTCAGCTTCAGCATCGTCTTTCCAAAGAATAATCAGGACTGGTTTCCTTTAGGATTGACTGGTTGGATCTCCATGCAGTCCAGTGGACTCTAAAGGGTCTTCTCCAACACCACAGTTTAAAAGCATCAATTCTTCAGTGCTCAGCTTTCTTTATAGTCCAACTCTCACCTCTGTACATGACTACTGGAAAAACCATAGCTTTGACTAGACAGACCTTTGTTGGCAAAGTAACGTCTCTGCTTTTTAATATGCTGTCTGGGTTGGTCATAGCTTTTCTTCCAAGGAACAGGCGTTTTTTAATTTCATGGCTGCAGTCACCATCTGCAGTGATTTTGGAGCCCAAGAATAGAAAGTCACTCACTGTTTGCATCGTTTCCCCATCTATTTGCCATGAAGTGATGGGACCGGATGCCATGATCTTAGTTGTGTTTTTAAGCCAACTTCTTCACTCTCCTCTTTCAGTTTCATCAAGAGGCTCTTTAGTTCTTCTTCACTTTCTGCCATAAGGTTGGTGTCATCTGAGTATCTGAGGTTATTGATATTTCTCCCGGCAATCGTGATTCCACCTTGTGCTTCATCCAGCCCAGCCTGGCATTTCTCATGATATACTCTGCATGTAAGTTAAATAAGCAGGGTGACAATATACAGCCTTGACGTACTCCTTTCCCTTTTTGGAACCAGTCTGTTGTTCCGTGTCCAGTTCTAACTTGCTTCTTGACCTGCATATAGATTTCTCAGGAGGCAGGTCAGGTGGTCTGGTATTCCCATCTCTTTTAAGAATTTCCCACAGTCTGTTGTGATCCACACAAAGGCTTTGGCTTAGTAGTAAAGTAGATGCTTCTCTGGAACTCTCTTGCTTTTTTGATGATCCAACAGATGTTGGCAATTTGATCTCTGGTTCCTCTGCCTTTTCTAAATCCAGCTTCAACATCTGGAAGTTCTCAACTCACATACTGTTGAAGCCTGGCTTGGAGAATTTTGAGCATTACTTTGCTAGCGTGTGAGATGAGTGCAATTGTGCAGTAATCTGAATATTCTTTGGTATTGCCTTTCTTTGGGATTTGAATGAAAACTGAGCTTTTCCAGTCCTGTGGGCACTGCTGAGTTTTCCAGATTTGCTGGCATATTGAGTGCAGCACTTTCACAGCATCATCTTTTAGGATTTTGAATACCATAAGATATCACTTACACGTGGAATCTAAAATATGGTACAAATGAACCTGTCTGTGAAACAGAAACGAGACTCACAGATATAAAGAACAGACGTGTGGTTCCAGAGGCGGAGGGCAGGTGGGGGAGAGATGAACTCGGACTTTGGGGTGAGCAGATAGAAGCTGTTCCATACAGAATGAGTAAACAAAAGGGTCTACTGTATCGGGGGAGGGAACTATACTCACTATCCTGTGATAAACCTTCATGGAAAAAAATATAAAAAAGTATGTGTATATAGCCGAGTCAGTTACTATACATCAGAAATTAACACAACATTGTGAATCAACTCTACTTCAATTAAAAAATTTTTTGTTAAGTTAAACCAGAAAGAAAGAAAAGCAGGCCAAAATGCCTTCCCTTTCAAACCTTTTCCCCCTCATGGGAAGTTGAGAAAGAAACATGTATGAACTTTTTCTGGCATAAATCTTTCTTAATTGTGTTTAAAATATCCATTACTTGAACCAGAGCTCCATACATTGTGAGAAGTACCTTTTCATCCCTTCAAAGCATTTAAGTCACAGAGGAGCTGCTGGCACTGAAGATGACCCTGACGACAAGGCAGGGAGGGGCAGATGTTGCCTCCAGCTGTGGTTGAGAGCGTTAGTGCTCAGAGTTGATTTAGAAACTCAGGTGAAACTGAGGAGAGGGCTGCAGAAGCTGAGACGGTTGGACCAGCCCGATGGACGTGAGCTGGAGTGGAGGGCAGGGGAGCCAGGCGCGCTGCAGTCCGTGGGGTCACAGAGAGTCGGACGCGGCTGAGGGGCCGAAGGACTGCCGCCTCCGGACGCGAGTTCGAGTCCGCAAACGTTGGTAACCACTTTTTAGTTTCAGAAAGAAAAATGATTGCTGTTACTTAGGTTTAGAATGATATTTTTATATATAAATAATTAAAAATGAATATCACTCCATGTACGAATTTTCAGGAACATAGGCATTATATTTGCAGGACATAGCCCTGAGGCTCTGCATTTTTTGATGTGTAATCAGGAGATCCCCAATTATCTGAATTTGTAAATGTGATTGATCACTGTTAAACCAAATGTTCTTAGCCTTCAGGAGAACCACAGAATGAAAACGGCTTATTAATCGAAGAAGTGAATGAATTTCCATCTTTTACACGGTCACCAGTAACTTCTTCCGAGAGACTAAGTCTACCTAAGTCTCAGAAGGTCCCCACGGATTATACTGAGAACTCCAGCGGCTCCATGTCCAGCATGGATTACGCTGCCTCTGGGTCCAAGAAACCGTCCTCTGGAACCTCCTACGGCAGAGGGCCCAGGGGCACATTCCCCGTTTCCCAGAAGTTTCAGTTAGTAATTTCAAAAGCACCCAATGGGGACCTTTTGGACAAACATTCTGAACACTTTTCTAACAGACATTTGCCATTCACCCCACGCACTTTAAAAACAGAAGCCAAATCTTTCCTGTCACAGTATCGATATTACACACCTGCCAAAAGAAAAAAGAATTGTACCGATCGGCGGATAGAAGCTGAAACTCAGACTGAATTAAGCAGGTATCACACAGTAACCTATAATAGATCCTCTAAGATGTGGTAGAAATTAAATAATATTCCTTACGTTTTACCATGTGCCTGCCATGCCAGGCCCCACGGTTAATGTAGTGTTTCCTTCTGCGTGAATCTTAGAACTCTCAGAGTGATTGTTAAAAAGGTTAATAGCTGTCAAACTTGTCATGCTCTTTATAAACATGAATGTTACGTATTTCAATTCATTGTTTCAGACGTGGTACTAGAACTTTTTGTGTGTTTTTAAATATACTTCCAGAGAATCCTTAAAATATGTCATCAAACAGCATTTGTGTAAATATGTTCATTGATTTATGTTAGAAATGGCAAAACAGTGAACTACGTGAGGGGAGAAAAAGCCGTTGTCTAACTACCCCTGTGTCCCTTGCCTGCCGGCACTCGGCAGCAGGTCCTCAGGTGTAATGTAGATAATTGGGATAATTTCGGGAAATTAAATATAATTTGCCTACGTAATATTTTCACATACAGTAGTACCTGGCACACAATGAATATTCATTAAAAGTTGCCAAATGATTAAAGAAAGAAGCAAATCTTGTTAAGTATTGAGTGTCAGCAGATTGTGATTGTTTTTCCTAGTGTTATATAAATGAATACTTATTTGGTACTAGGTTTTAATTATTTTTAAAAGTAAAAAACAATTTATGACTAGTAACTTTTTCTCTGGGTAAATATAAGAAGTATAGCAAGATCAGTCTATATACATTTAAAGAATTAAGAAATTAAATCTAATGGTAGAATTTTCAAGTAAAGAGGAGATGATGAAAGCAAATGTTAGGTTGCTGCCAAAGTAATTGTGGTTTCAGACCTTGAATTTTAAATCATCATAACTAGGCTCACACACATCTTTATAGATCAAAATAGAAACCGTTGCAATCAACACATTTTTGCCAATGAGAAATAAGTTTGTTTATTCCTATAGCCTAAAAATCCACGCCTCAGGATTCAATGACTTCTTGGAACACATTTTCTGCCTCCTGCTGGCTGTGGAAGATTTTTCCTTGCAAAAAGTTGTTAGGTTGCTTAAAGAAGTGGTAGTCAGTTGGCAAGAGGTCAGATGAACATGGCGACTGAGGCAGAACTTTGTAGCCCAGTTCATTCAACTTTTGAAGCATTGGTTGTACAACGTGCAGTTGGCATTGTCCCAGAGAAGAACTGCAGGTGTTGCAGTTTTCCGTGCAGCTCGTTGATTTGCTGAGCATACTTCTTAGATGTAATGTTTTCGCCGGGACTCAGACCAGCAGCAGACCCCCAGATGGTGACCATGATGGTTTTTTTGGTGCAAATTTGGCTTTGGGAAATGCTTTGGAGCTTCTTCTCTGCCCAACCACTGAGTTGGTCATCTCTGGTTGTTATATAAAATCCACTTTTCGTTGCACGTCACAGTCCGATTGAGAAATGGCTCACTGTTGTTGTGTAGAATGAGACGACGACGTGTCAAAATGATGTTTTTGATTTGCAGTCAGCTTATGACGCACCCACTTATCAAGCTTTTTCACCTTTCCAATTTGCTTCAAATGCTGAACAACCATAGAATGGTCAACACTGAGTCCTTCGGCAACTTCTCGAGTAGTTGTGAGAGAATCAGCTTCAGTGATGGCTCCTAGTTGGACCCTGTCAGCTTCTGATGGCTGCCGCTACACTCCTCATCCTCAAGGCTCTGTCTCCTTTGCAGAACTTCCTGAGCCGCCACTGCACTTACCACATGCGTTATCAGTTCCTGGGCCAAGTGCGTTGTTGATGTTGTGAGCTATCTCCACTGCTTTACAACCCATTTTGAACTTGAATAAGAAAAATCACTCAAATTTGCTTTTTTGTCCAACAGCACTTCCATAGTGTACATATAAAATAAATAGCAAGTAAAAGTCACAGGCAAAAAAACATAAAGCAAAGTATGTACACTAAAAGGATGTGTAACATAACCACATTTATTTAAGAATGTATTCCAGTATCAAATGGCAAATCTCAACAATGTAAAAACTGAAATTACTTTTGTACCAACCTACTATATTGGGTAGCTAATATATTGGGTTGGCCAAAAGTTTCGTTCAGGTTTTCCATACCATCTTAGAGGAAAACCTGAATGAACTTTTTGGCCAACCCAATAACATACTTTTCTGATTATGTTTTTGACAGCTTTTTCAAGATAATAGTTTCCATTTCCCTAGCTCCCTTCTATCCAACTGAAATCTAGCTGCTATTTGAAAAAAGGAACAAGAGGCATATGTGATCCAAACCATATCTATTTCCCAGTTGTATCATTAGAAATCTCATGTTTGAAGTTTTTTTTTTCCCTAGATAGTAAAGCTTGTTTTCACATTGTTTGTATCTTGAAGGTTTAACAATAATTTCTTTTAAAATATTACAGCTTTAAATCTGATTTTGAGACAGTTGAGATCAAGAATGCCACAGATTCAGAAATGAACATAAGACAGGTAATAAAAATGAGACCTCTTTGTGTTACACGTTAGAATTATAGCTGCCTTAATTGAATATATGTAGCTCTTTGGACTGTGAAGAATAATCTCTTGGTGATACTTTTTGCATGTGGTATAACCAGTATATAGAAGTATTGCCTATTTACAAATGGTTATAGCTCTCCATGAGTGGCCAGATGGATCCTGCCCTATCTGGTAAGTCATTCGTTGTTAATGTGTTTTCTAGATGGTTGGTTGGCTGGCTGAATGGATGGATGAATAAAATATCTTAAATTCTTTTTTCTTTTTTAATACCTTAAATTCTTCTCAAAGATGCAGACTCAAATCACTAAAGGAGCCAGAAAAAATTGTGCAAAAGTTTAGTTTCTATGCCTATTTTTTTTTTTTTGAAGAATCGCCACTGATAACATATAAACATAGATGGTGTTATTCTCCTGTGCTGCTCTGTTTTCTAGATCATAAAAATCTTTTTTAGTGTTTGTATTTTGAATACTTAGCAGTCATTTCTTTTAAACTGTTACAGCTTTAAGTCTGACTTTGAGATAAACTTTTTATTAATCATGCACTTGTTAATCATACACTTGTATCCTAATTTTCAAGTTACTGTTTGTGAAAATGCTTTGTTTATTAAAATATCAAACAGACTCAGGGATAGAAGAATAAAATATAAGCCCACTCAGCTTTTCTCCTTCCTTCTGAAAGTGGGTAGAGGATTGTGGGTTTGCATCTCAGCCATTAATAGCTGTGTGACATAGGGTTCTGCCACTTAAGGCCCAAGGACAGATCAGTTCCTCTGAGAGCTGAGTTACCACATAGAGCAAATTGTACTTTTAATGTTCAGGATCATTGGAAGGAGTAAGTGTTGCAGGTAAAATACCTAGTCTCACCTGGACTCAGTAATGATGGCTATGGCTAGCTTGAGATCTAGGAAGAGGGTTACCTCCATAGATAACTAAATAGACTAAAGCAGAAGTTCATTTTTATGACATTGTACTCCAAAGGTTTATCTGTAACCTCGTAAGAAAATGGCATGCTCCCTTACTCTATAATCAGTACCACCAGCATCTACTTGAGCATTAGCTGCAGTAGATAGACCAGCATTCAAAAGCACTTCTAACACTGTCAGGCACTACACATAGTTAGCGTTACAAAGGTCACATCTGATAATGAAGTGCTTGGCACAGTCTGTGGCCACTAGTCAGGGTTCCATAAAAGTAGAAGTTTGTTAATATTCTTCAGAGTGCCAGAGCTGCCACTGCTTTTACATGTTGGATAACATTTGAAACAGATGGGCTATTTTGAGTTTCTGAATAATAGGATATTTACTCTCAAGTTAACGTAAAACTTGCAGATTTATTTCATTTTCTCTTTATATATATATATATGGTATTTAATACCATTTAAAATATTCCTCATTAAAGTATAAGAAATTGTTTTATCTTTAAATGAATTTAAGAAAAAAGTCTTGATTTTATGAAAAATGAATTCTAAAATATCCTTTGTCTTAAAGGCATCAGTTACTTTTTTCTGCTGGGTATCTCCACTCTCTTTCATCAAATATTTTTGGAAATTTGATGCTTTGCTTTAGCTCTTCTATCATAACGTATGTTGGAAGCAAAATAAAGATTCATTCCTCTCATTGCATCTCCAGGCATCTGGCTGTGTGTCATGTGGAACCAAAGGAGGAATAACCCCTTTACCTTTACAAGGGCGTGAGCTATTATGGGACAGGATCAAAGACGGCGCCCTCCAGTGTTCCTCGTCAAGGTATTTCAGCGCTTTGTATCTAACCGCTTTCCTGTGCAACAGACTTCGAGCAGCATGAGTACTGGTCCATCTACATGCACTCCAGTCTAGTTTGGTATTATGCAGTTCAGTTTTACTAAGGAAATATTACAAAGTAGGTAGTCACTATAAAAGTTTAGATGAATTCATTTTGCTGATTCCTCACTAAAGGGAAAGGGGACCCTGGCTTTTGTACTATTTGCCATCACTATTCACTGGAGAAAGAATTTTCCCCAAGACAGATCCTGCAGCAACGGTGCTCACCAGTTTACACGGCATAGATAGTACTGGAGGACCTTACCACTTGAGGACTCATCATTTGTGATTTGAACACTCATCATATGCTTTGTAGGGGAGGCACTATTTTTTCAAATGATTCATCATGTTTAACAATTATGGAACACGGCCTGTGAATAAAAATGAGAGGTTTTAGGTCGTATAGAAGCTAAAAAATGCCTCTGATAGCTTTAACTGTCAAATGCATTTCCAGTGTCAGAGTTTGGATATGAGGTAAAGGTGGCAGAAGGGAAAAAAGGACTCAGAGATCAAGACTGAGACCTCCTAGAGGCTTCCCTCATGGAGCAGTGGTAAAGAATCTGCCTGCCAGTGCAGGAGACACGGGCTCTATCCCTGGTCCGGGAGGACCCTACTGCCAGGGAGCAGCTAAGCCCGCGTGGAACAGCCGTTGAGCCTGTGCTCTGGAGCCGGGAGCCACAGCTCCTGACGCCCGCAGGCCAAGACCCGTGCTCTGCAGCGGGAGAGGCCACCGCCGCGAGAGGCCTGCGTGCTGCCGCTGGGGCAGCCCTCACTCCTGACAACTAGAGCAAAGCCAGAAACTAGGAAGATAATAAACAAATAAAAAGGAAATGGTTTTAAAAAAAAGAATCAAAGACATCCTAGAGCAAACGGGAAGCAAGCGCACACAATCCCTGAGGGCCCAGGTCTTCCCTTGGGCCTTTCCTTGGGGACAGCTTGCCGCCAGGGCGTCGTGGGGGGTTGAGGGAGAGGAAGGGGGGTATTGCTAACTGCTCTGTCTAGAAATTCCTGATGCTTTAGCTCTCATCAGATGAGCCAGTCTGCAATGGATATAAAGAATGACCTCAAGAAAGAGATAAGTCATCTAGTCAGTCAGTTCAGTCGCTCAGTCGTGTCCGACTCTTTACAACCCCATGGACTGCAGCACGCCAGGCCTCCCTGTCCATCACCAACTCCTGGAGTTTACTCAAATTCATGTCCATCGAGTCAGGGATGCCATCCAACTGTCTCATCCTGTCATCCCCTTCTCCTGCCTTCAGTCTTTCCCAGCATCAGGGTCTTTCCCAGTGAGTCAGTTCTTCACATTAGGTGGCCGAAGTATTGGAGTTTCAGCTTCAGCATCAGTCCTTCCAACAAATATTCAGGACTGACCTCCTTTAGGATGGACTGGTTGGATCTCCTTGCAGTCCAAGGGACTCTCAGGAGTCTTCTCCAACACCACAGTTCAAAAGCATCAATTCTTTGGCGCTTAGCTTTCTTTAAAAGAAGTACTATAATTGTATATACCTGTGAATAGAAAGCTTGGAATTAATTAATGATATAACTGAATAATAACAGAATTTATCATAATGACCAGGTTATAGTTTTTTTCCATAGGAAAATGTTTCTAAATGTTTCCAACATCATTTATATTTTAACCTTATTCAAACATTATCCTTTTTACATGATAAGTTTCATAGTACAATTTTTAAGAGGGTTATGAATTTGTAATTAGAAGACTAGTTTAAAACATCTGTCTTTGCTACTTCTAACACATGACCTTAGCAGGTTACTTAGCCTTTCTGCCCCTTGGTGCTTTGTTCAGTGAGAACAGTAATATCTTCCCAATATACTTGACAGGGTTATCCTAAAGATTAGATAAAGATAATGAATGTGACAAGTGCTTTGAAATTCTGAAACCTGTTTATTACTAATGTATTACTGTATGCCAATCATTGCTTTGTTCAGATATTCTAATTTTCTCTTTCCAGGGCAGTATGTCAATATTCGCTGCAGCCTCCTTCAGGGAGAAAGGCGTATTCTGAGTAAGATCTCTTTGACTACCTCATTTTGCTTAGTGGAAATGAAGAATTAAGGCTCACAATTTTTTATTAAATAAGTCAAGATTGAACATGAATTTTTCTTTACAACCAGCTTTGGGGTTTGGTCATATAGTACACACTAAATTTGAGAGAATTATTAATGATTCTTATTAATATTATTGATAATATTCAGAAATATCTGAAATAATTGTTTATCACTTCATTTTTATGTCTAATGGAAATTGGTCCCTAGATTAATAATACTTGCTTATTTTTTATAATTAGTACCCATAATTTTCATAAGTAAAAATAATGAAGGCGAGTTTTAGAGAAATGCAGCCTTTTGGTAGCTCAGGATACCATTCTTGAGCTCTTTTAACCTCACCAGTTTTTTTTTACAGATATTATACTTCTGAGTTTGAAAGTTATTTTAGTTGGACTGCATTTTTTCAGGGAAAGCAGTGTATTTTTATAGAGTTTCATTTGTTCTCAAATTTTCTGCCTGTGAATTGGTTTGAAGGCATAATGTTTATGCAGTAATCTTCTGCTTGGTATGCTAATTAACTCTTCCCCTTATGTTTACATAGTCAGTAACTAAAGTAGTTTTAGGCTTCCCTGATGGCTAAGTGGTAAAGAGTCCACCTGCCCCAGGAGACATGGTTTCGATCCCTGGGCTGGGAAGATCCCCTGGAGAAGGAAATGGCAGCCCACTCCAGGATTCCTGCCTGGAGCATGCCATGGACGGAGGATCCTGGCGGGCCAGTTGCTGCTTCCATTCTCTGTCAATTCACTGATTTTTAGCTACTGGAGACCAGACTTGCGATGGCGCCCTGCTTTTTTAGTACCATGCTCTTTGTGTAAAGGCTGCTAAAGTATATAGCTCATACGAGAGTATAACAGAGAAATGTACCCAAGTAATTGAAAAATACCACTATATTTATGTACAAATTTTTCCTACTAGAATATTTTTCCTTACCTACAAACTTGTCAAGAAAAAAATAGTTTTTTCTGCCCAATAAATTTCTCCACCTTGGAACCAGATGCTCTCCTCGGAGCGGGAGAGGATTTTGTCGTCGAGGTTCCTACTTCTCTGGGTGACCTTCCTCTTTCCCTTCTGCCTCACAGAGGGACTCGTGCCTCTGTAGCCAGACCTGGTCAGGAGCCCGAGGACGTTTAAAATGCTCGACAGGAACATGACGTGCCCCCACGGGGTCACCCCGAAGTCACCCTCTTGCCCGTTTCCCTGGTTGCTTTCTGTTTTACTTAATCCCTGCTGCTTTTTTACTGCCTGATCAGCGTTGCAGACATCTATGAAATTTTACTCTCTATTAGGGAATACTTTCTCATCTTTAGTAAATATCCTTGCATAATTTGAGAAAGTAGACATATATTTGTTTTATAATGTTCCTCTTGATAATGTGAGATGGAAGTGTGTTTGTAATAGTACAGATATTCCAGTATAGGTACTTAGGCATCCTCTGATTTTCAGCATAAATAAGCATTAATTTTTTTTTGAATAAGCAGTAACTTTTATGCTGTATATCACTTTGCCTTCACAGTGAAGAAGAACTGTTGTATCTGAGTTTCATTGAAGATGTAACAGATGAAATTTTGAAACTTGGTTTATTTTCAAACAGGTTAGATTTTTTTAATTGTATTGTGGTCACTGAGCTGTACATTAAAAACTTGGTTTGGTGTTAATTTTATTTATTTTCACATATTAGGATATGAAAATTGTATTGCTTCCTTAGGGGACCGTATTCTTATAATTGATATAAATTATAAAGAACATTTAATTCCTGCTCTCCCAGGGGATCCCTTGTGGCTCAGCTGGTAAAGAATCGGCCTGCACTGTGGCAGACCTGGGTTCGATCCCTGAGTTGGAAAGATCCCCTGGAGAAGGGCATGGCAACCCACTCGTCTTCTGGCCCGGAGAATCCCATGCACAGAAGAGCCTGGCGGGCTACAGTCCATGGGGTCTCAAAGAGTCAGACACGACTGAGCGACTAAGCACAATTCAGGGCAGGCTCACAGGGGAGATAGAGAAGAGAATAGAGATTTTATTCATCTAAGTACTTCTATATCCCTTAAATACAAAGAGCAGATTGTTAGAGGTGGGGTGCTGGGCATTGGGGAATGGGGCAAAACGGTCGAAGGGAGTCAGAGGTCCAAACCTGCAGTTAAAAACTCATCAGATCATGGGGATATAATGTGCAGCATTGACAACTGTCGTTAACCACACCACATTGTATATTTGAAAGCTGCTAGAAGAATAGATCTTAAAAGTTCTCATTACAAGAAAAAAAATTATTCTCTAACCATGTAATGGTGATAGATGGTCACTAGACTTACTGTGATTATTTTGCAGTATATACAAATAACAAATCATTATGTTGTATTCCTTAATAAAATGTTGTAGGTCAACTATACCTCAGTTTTTAAAAAGTTATCACAAAGAAAAAGAAATGGTATCCACATTTGAAAGAAAACCATAAAACTGTTTTTATTCATAGATGACATTATCATACATGTAAAAATCCCAACAGAGAAAAGACAAAAATACTGTATCTTTTAGTTTATAATAGGCTAGCACACTAAATTTTTGCTGCTGCTTTACAAAATTCCATCATCTCTTTTTACTATCTGAAACTGTCATGAAGATCAGAAGCAGGCTTTTTTTGTTATGACTGTTACTAGTAACAGGACAAATTTAAGACTAGGTTTGCACACAGCGAGTGAAAGGGGAAGTTTGTAAAACCATCTTGGTACTATTATCTTAAGGAACCTGTTGTCCTGAACCAGCTTGAACTTTATTTAGCTGAAATTCATTTATATAAAACTTTTCTGATATGTATCAGAAGACACTACTGTATATATGCCACGTGCTTTCCCTGTCATAATAGTATGTCAAGTGCAGACATTTTTAATAAGTTGTTTCTATTTAACAACGTGAATACATACTACTACTGAACTGTAACTTTTTAAATTGGTTAAGATGGTAAATTTTATGTTATATAGTTTTGTTTTTTTACCACGACCAGAACAAAAACACTGCCTCCAACCATAAATCAAAAAAATAAAAGAAGCCAAAACAAAGTTGACATGAAAAATACCTATTTATGCCCTTAAATTAAAACTCAAATTTCTCATTTAAATAATAAGGCTTTTTACTGTGACAATTTTTATAGTAGCACAATAAAATGGAATCAACCTCATATTGAATAGTAAAGGTTCAGTTGAATAAATCTTAGAATGTTTATAATAGTAAGGTCTGTTCAGATATTTTAAATGATGCTGCAGAAGTTAATTTATTGATATATAAAGATGTTCAAAATAATACAACTGATTAGAAAACAGTATAGATATCAAAACAGTATTATGTAATCCCAGTTTTCATAAAGAAATATGTATGCATAGGAAAGTACCCAGTAAACATCAATGATAGTTGTAAAATACAGAATACAGATTTCTTGGGCTTTTAAAAAATTTCAAAATAATTCAGAACAATTAAATCTAAGATTGTCACATAACTTCATTGATAGTAACAAATGGTGACAAATGAGTAGTTTTCAAAAAAACCAATTGATACACTCCTGTGATAGCTAGACAAGGCTGGTATAGTTGAAAGAAGGTACCTGAAGCCAGATACATCTGGGTTAAATTCTCTTAATGGCTTGTGACCTCGGCGGGAGAGGAAATCATCATCTTAGACATTCTGTTCTCTCATCTTCAAAACGGGTTTTCTAATACCTTTCTCTGCCAGTACTGGCTTCCCAGGTGGCGCTCGTGGTTAAGAACCCACTTGCCAGTGCAGGAGACACAAGACACAAGGGTTCTATCCCTGGGCTAGCAAGACCCCCTGGAGGAGGGCATGGCAACCCACTCCAGTCTTCTTGCCCGGAGAATCCCGTGGGCAGAGGATTCTGGCGGGCTACGGTCCGTGGGGCCGCAGAGAGTAGGACATGCATTGGTCATGGTTAGAGATAGAATGATTATCGCGTGTCCAGCACAAATGCCTATTACTTCGTGGTACTTAGTAAGTGATAACTTTAACTTATTATGTCGATTTACCGCGAGTGGAATATCTTTTCAGGTATAATTTAGGAAACATTTAGAGTAACGCTTTACAAGAGAGTGTTCTTCAGAGTTTGCTTTTGGAGGATGGGGGTATGTGACAGAAGGGGAGCAGGGAAGGCTCTTGGTGTTTGCGTGAGAGAAAAAAGATACAGGGGCGGCTTACAGCCTCATGTAAGACAGTCTGTTTCACAGAAATATAAGTAGTGTGCAGTCTCTCAGGAGAGACACTGGCACTGGCATTTGTTAACATAACCTAAACATAGGAGAAGTCACACTAGCTTTCACTTGGAGAGCTTGATAGAACAGAGAAGGATTATAGTGTGCATCTTTGGAAAGAAAAAAGGAAATCTAAAACAGATTTTCCAACCTTTAGTACTTTAGTTATCGCATGACTCTCTGTATTAAGTTGGTTTTCTGATTTTGAGACCATTAACATTTTTATTTGTCATTTGTAGGTTTCTGGAACAACTGTTTGAGAGACATATAAAACAAAATAAACATCATTTGGAGGAGGTTTGTCTTAACTTCATAAGAAAAATTCTAATACAGAAAGAATTTTCAAGTTTTACCTTACTCTCAGAGAATGCATTAAAAGCAGGCACTTTTTTTCTCTTGCACTTTTTGTGTATGTGGGGAAAGGGGAGATACAGGCAGAATGAGGAAGAACTAGTATTAATCCCGCTGAGGTGAGCAGCACTGCAGCAAAAAGAATTCAGCTTTACTAGCCTAATTAATATAATTATTCTTGTATTTTTTTAATTCCAGGAAAAAATGCGCCAGCTGCTACATGTCTTAAAGGTGGACTTAGGCTGCACGTCCAAGGAAAACTCAGTAAAGCTAGACGTCATGGATACGTTGCATTTACGTGATGTTGAAAAGGCTGAGAATTCAGAACAAAGTGAATATAAAAGTGAACAAGATTTAATCATTCAACAGGAACGCCAGGAATACCAAAAAGCTTTGAATATGTTATTGACTATACCGAAGGAAGAGAATGAGATCGTCTCTTCGAATGAATTTTTCCTCCCGATCTATAAATCAAAGTATTCAGAAGGGGTTATCATTCAACAGGTGAATGAGGAAACAAATCTTGGAACTTCAGCCTGGGATGAGAAAAATGCAAGCATGTCAGACAGTTTGCTAGACCAGGAGACCTCCGTGAGCGTCATCGAAGGCGACAGCGACGCTGAGAAGGCCGAGGCGCCCACGGAGCCGCACTGCCTCAGCACGGAGCTCGTGCCTTCGCAGCTGTGCGGAGCCCGAGAGCGGCAGGAGGTGGACGGACCAGCCTGAGGGCCATGGGAGTGAGCGCGGAGGGCTGGCCTTGACCGTCCGACCTGCACCAATAAACATCCCGCATGGCCGACCAGTCACTATGCCGTTTACGTTTTTACTTTTATATGTTAAGAGTTCTGTATTTGTCTTCTATGTTGTATAATAAATTACTATAAATTTAGCAGCTTAAAACAACACACAGGTATTATTTATCGAAGTTTCTGTGGATCCAGAGTCCAGGCACAGCTTAGGCGGGTCCTCTCTGCTTTTGGCCTCACACATCTACAAGCCAGGGCTCGGTGGGGCCATGGGGGTAACTTCTGCCTCCAGACTTTGTCAGGTGGTTGGCAGGATGTCTTTCCTTGTAGCTTTCGGTTTGAAGGCTTCGGTTTCCTGTTGGCCGTGCCCACTGGAGTCTGTCTACTGTTCCCTGCTGCGTGGCCCTCTCTGCAGACCGCTCACAGCGTGGCTGCCTGCTTCTCTGAGACTAACGGGAGAATGACGGAGTCTCAGAAAACGGTCATGATGCGGTGCGTCACAGGAGTGACTTCCATCACCTTTGCCATATTCTTTTGGTTAAAACAAGTCACAGGTCCTGCCCACATTAAGAGGCAGGATACAAGGGTGTGAATGCGAGAAAGAATCACCCAGCTCCCCTTGGGGTCTGTGGACCACAGTTTCTGAAGTCCCTTCCTAGGGGAACAGATTTTACCGAGACATAAGTGACTGCAGGCACTGGGGGGAAAGGTCGAAAATCTGGAGTAGCTCCTAAAACATGAAGCGTTGTCTGCTGTCATCTTGGGGCTTCCCTGCTGGCTCAGGTGGTAGAGAATCCGCCTGCGATGCAGGAGACCTGGGTTCCACCCCTGGGTCGGGAAGGCCCCCTGGAGGAGGAAATGGCAGCCCACTGCAGCATCCGTGCCTGGAGAATCCTGTGGACAGAGGAGCCTGGCGGGCTACAGTCCACGGGGTCACAAGAGAGTCAGACACAACTTAGCGACTGAGCAACAGTATCTCTAATTTCTTTCCTCTCACTCTCCTCCAGTTTCTAAAGCCTCAGGCCTTTCTGGTCATCAGTGAGCATGGAAGGCCTATTGACGGTCTGAAACGCCAACCCTCCTTGTGCAGACGAGCGCTCTACCAGGCCCCATCTGATACCCCCCTCCTGTCTATACACTTCATGAACGGGGCCCTTAACTGAGTGCAGATACGCCTCAGGAGACTCATCTCTACTTAGCTCTTTTTAACCACTCGCAGCCGTGGAAACATTTGAGTAACTGTTACAGAGCGGTTTCATGCCTGGGCACCACGGAGGATGGAGAGATGAATCAGAATATGGGCGATAACCCAAATGTTGTTCTAGAAATTTAGCAATTTCCTCCAAGTATCTCATTCTTTAATGTAGGCTTTTAGCATTTTTCTGCCCACATGAGTGTTTCCCAAAAGGTGGTGTGTATCACTGGAGGTATTAGACCTGGTTTCTCGTGGTGGGTGGATGACAGTCTCCAGTATGGGAAACTTGAGAACCCAGGCTCAGGGACGGCCTGCAATACAGTCGGGCTGGGTACCCAGCGTCCTAGGCCCCAGGTCACCCTGCCCCCATCTTCCCTTGGCCCTACCAACCCTCTGCTCTCACCTGTGGGGTGCTTATCTTACCCCCAACAGCAAAAGACGCAAAGTACAGATCCGGCAACTGTGGAAAATCTAAACTGTGCCAAGATCTGTCAAACTTCTGAAATAAGGGATTTACTTGGCTTTCGGACTTCTAAATATGCTATGTCTTATCCAAGAAATTAGCCATTTTCTAAATCGTGTAGAGAATAAATTTCAATATTGTAAGCCTAAAAGACTGCATTTGCATAATTTACTATTAAAAAGATATATATTGAAATAAAGAATTATGTAAAAGCCATTCTTTGAAATACTTACAGCATAAATATATGTTATGCAAAGTATGTACATGGACTTCCCTTGTGGCTCAGCTGGTAAAGAATCCCCCTGCAATGAGGGAGACCTGGGTTCGATCCCTGGGTGGGGAAGATCCCCTGGAGGAGGGCATGGCAACCCTCTCCAGGATTCTGGCCTGGAGAATTCCATGGACTGTGTAGTCCATGGGGTCACAAAGAGTCAGACACGACTGAGCGCCTTTCACTTCACTTTCAACAGCTCCCGCCCCGCATCCTGCAGCCCTCTTTCACCCTGTCCCCTCTTTCCTGGCGCCCGCCCGCATGTCCCGTCTCCCGTCACTCACACGTGCCCCGTCCGTCCTGTCTGGGGCTCCTCCCCCCAGCCCCAGCCTCACCACCACGGAGCCTGCGCCCCTTGGCCATGTCGGCTCCCGTTTCCCTCCTTGGCTGGAGCTTGCCTGCTGCCTTCCTGCTGCGTCTCCACGCTTGGGGCCCCACCCCAGACCCCCTGCCCTGCTCTGACCCCTACCTTCCAACTCTGGGTACAGCTCTTGTCTCTGAGGCCATGGCCCATCCTGACTGTATCGGTTTTAGGGTATTCTGTTGTTGTTATCCTCAGGATTCCCTGTAAGATTTAAAGAGATGAGCTGGTTTAAAGAAACATTAAAAGTGGTTCTCAGATGGCCAAGGTTCTGTAAAGGTGAAGTGGATGGTAAGTCTGGGAAATGCTGGCTTAGTCCCAGATCAGGATATTAATTTCTCTTTCCCTCTGCTTCGCCCACAGCTCATTCTCTGATTTGCAGAGTCATTGATGAGTGTTTTGAGCCCAGTTGCTCAGACTTGATCCTTATGAGCTGTGATGTTAAGCTGGTTACTATAACCTTCCTCCTGCTTTCCATGTGCTGAATCAAGTAGTTACAGAGCCTTCATTGCAGGGCTGTAAGAAGTTAAACAGGTTGTTTGAGAAAGACTCACAGGCCGCTACTGTTACTGTAAAACAGATCAACAGACCATGTCACTCCCTTCTTTAAAAAACAAGCCAAACTGAGTTTCCGCTTGCCAACCAGAAAAGGTACAGGCCCCGTTGCGTCTTTCCTCCCAATTCATCTCTCGCCAGGCTCGCCCAAGCATCCTCAGCATCTTCACTGCTTCTCCCCAAATAGGTCCCTCTGCTCTCCGCCCCTGCACTTGCCACCATCTCCCCTCTGGGGCCCCTTGGGGCCTGCGCCGACTGCCCAGAGGGAATGGAACACAGGAAACTTGAGCAGCTGCTCCGACAGATGTCCCCCTGCTCTGGGTGAGACCTTCCATGTCTGGACGCCCAGAATGTCTGTGATTTGAAGGCCAGCATAGCTGGCTCTCAGGAGTCTCAAATTCAGTCCTAAATAGAACCCCATTCTTAAAGGGCTCATACAAAATCTCATATTCTAGAACCTAGGGCGGAAGCAGCAATCTGAATGAAGTCTAGGTTGGACGTTCCTGCCAGTCTGGAGAGGCAGGGGGCGGCTGGAGCCTGCCCTGGGGACTCAGGCATTGGCCGCAGCACGTGGGGAGCTTGTTCTACCACGTGGGCGCTGGTGCTGGCCAGCACCCTTTTGGAATCCGGCCTCAAGCTTATTTGGAGGCGGTCATGGCAATCCGCTCCAGTATTAATGCCTGGGGAAGCCCATTGACCGAGGAGCCTGGCAGGCTACAGTCCACACAGTCACAAAGAGTCGGATACGACTGAGAGACTTTATCTGTCTGTCTCTAGCTTACTAGCCTCAGGACCCAGCTCGGCCCCTGCCCACAAGCCCGTAGGCACCAAACGGCCAGCTGGGCAGGGACGCAGCCCCACTGACCTGCAGACTGTTGTTTAGTCGCTGAGTCCTGTCCGACTCTTTGTGACCACCAGGCTCCTCTGTCCATGGGACTCTCCCGCGAGAGTACTGGAGTGGGTAGCCATGCCCTTCTCCAGGGGACCTTAGACTGGCTGCCGACCAGTCTAAGACCCCCGAGCCCACAGCTGCCCCGGGGCCCAGTCCTGCCCCCCAGTGGGCGCAGTCCTGGCCCCCCACACCAGCACACAGCGCACGGCAGGGGACCTGGCGCCCCAGGACTGCGCCCCCTCCACCAGCCCCAGGCCCCGCGCACGCCCCGGGCAGCTGCTCTGGCCTCAGGGCCGGCCTCGCCCGTCAGAGGGCTCAGCAAGGGACAGCCACTGTGGGAGCTCTTTCAGCCCCACGGACAGACAGACGGACGGCCCGACACCAGCCTCCGGACCCAGCCCCCGGAACAGACCAGCATCTCACGTCTGTCGAAATGGCCGTCTTCGAAAAGACCACAAGCGACACACGCTGGCCAGAATGTGGAGAAAAGGGAATCCTCGAGCACTGCTGGCAGGAACGGAAGTTGGCACAGCGACCGGGAACAGCACGGAGGTTCTCAAGAACCAAAAGCAGAACCACAAGACACAGCAACTCCAATGCGGACGGTTACCCAAAGAAAAGGAAACACGCGTTTGAGAGATACACGTAGGCCAACGTTCACAGAGTTATTTACAACAGCTCAGATGGAAGCAACGTAAGTGTCCGGCAACAGATGCATGGATAAAGATGTGTTGTGTGTGTATATATGTAATATGCATGTGTGTGTGTGTGTGTGTATGTATGTATGTGATGGAATACTACTCTGTCATAAAAAAGAATGACATTTTCCCATCTCCATCAACATAGATGGACTTGGAGGGTTTTATGCTTAGTGAAATAATCAGAGAAAGCCCATACTGTATATCACTTATATTTGGAATCTAAAAAATACAACAAACTAGTGAATATAAGAAAAAAGAAACATATATAAAAAACTAGTGCTTACCAGCCAGGAGAGGGACGGGGGAGGGTTACACAGGTACAGAGGATTAAGAGATACAAACTACTAGGTATAAAATAGATGAGAGCAAGGATATATTTTACAGCACGGGGAATAAACCCAGTGTTCCCTAATAACTGTAAATGGAGTGTAACCTTTAAAAATCGTGAATCACTGTGTTATACACCAGAAACATATATATTGTAAATCAAGTACACCTCAATTTCAAAAATAATGATAATAATAATAATTAATTATTATTATTATTGTTAATTTAATAATTTTTTAAAAGATGAGTTGACCATTGTTTTTCCTGTGAAGAAGAATATTCTTTTATAAGTTTTCTGCTGCTGCTGTAACAAGTTCCACAAACGCAATGGCTTAAAACAAAATCTAGCAACTTACAGTTCTGGAAGCCAGAAGTCATAAAATCAAGATGTTGCCAGGGCTGCATTCTTCCAGGAGGCTCTGGGGAGAATGTTTTTCACCTTTTCCAGTTTCCAGCGGCTGCCTGCATCCCTTCACTGTGGCCCGTGCCTCCATCATCAAGGCCAGCTGTGTGGCATCTTCAAATCTCTCCCCTCTGCTTCTCTCGTCAGGTCTCTGCTCACTGTGACCCTCCCACCTCCCTCTTAGAAAGACCCTGTGGTTCCTCTGGGCCCACCTGGATAATCCCGGACAGTCTCGTCTCAAAAACCTTGATTTAATCACATTTGTAGAGTCCTTTTGTCATGTAACATTCATAACCTCAGGGGACTAGATCATGGACATCTTTGGGGGCCCATCAGTTGACCACGATTGTAAACATCATTAACCTAATAGAAATGGTCTAAATAAACCTTAATGCCTATTAATTGTAGCTTGGCTATGTCATGAATCCCAGGTTGCAGTCTATACTGAACATTTGTGACTTTTTCATACTCAGCTTCTGATTCAGAATTTTTAGACATGGGGTATGCTTCAAGAATCTGGATTTCAACACATTTCCAGTGTTGCTGATCCAAAAACAAGCCCATTAATAAATGAAGTGGACATTCAACCAATGGCACGTTGCACTACCTTGTCAGTCCTAACGGAAATCAACCCTGAATGTTCAGTGGAAGGACTGATGCTGAAGCTGAAACTCCAATACTTTGGCCACCTGATGCAAAGAACTGACTCATTGGAAAAGACCCTGATGCTGGGAAAGATTGAGGGCAGGAGGAGAATGGGACGACAGAGGATGAGATGGTTGGATGGCATCACCGACTCGATGGACATGAGTTTGAGCAAGCTCCGGGAGCTGGTGATGGACAGGGAAGCTTGGCATGCTGCAGTCCATGGGGTCACAAAGAATTGGACATGACTGAGCAACTGAACAAAATAAGTGAAGTGGACACTCAATAAGATGCACCACAGGGATGATTGTGTGAGGAGAAGCTCTGCCAACCTGCAAGGAAGTACATAAATATTTATTCTTCAAATATATTAATTGTTCCACAAATGTCCTGATTAACAAAGTTGGCTATTTTGACAAGATGCATTCTAACTAGTAAGTGATTGATGATGGTGGAGATGTGTGATGACTATAAACAACTGAAAGAAACATCTATTGTCTGGAACATAATTTAAAATAACCCATTGAGGAAATGGGATTAATTATACACCTCTGTAATAAGAACTAAAATGAAAAAAAAAATAGACAAAACAGCTGTAATTGTACTTTTCATGCACAAATAATATCTTGCTTCAATATTTATATTATGGCAAAAATAGACTATAATATATTCACTTCACATATATTACATTCATTCAAACTTTTTTGCCCATTAAATGTACACACTTTTATAAACCAATGAGTTTAGAAGATTTAAGCTCTTCTGATTATACGCTTTTACATTGTTGATCACTGGACAGTAGCACATAAAATTGCTTTTTAAACTAGAAAATACTAGACAACTATGTAAACAACGTGATTTTGAAAAGGTAGAATTCCCAATGCTTTGCTTTAATTATAGGGAACTTTCTGAGAAAATGTACTTCATAAAAATTGTCTCTAAATAT